TTTGAATTTTTTGAATACATTTTTTAACAATTTCTTTGTTCGGTATTTATTTGATCTTAAATGATCTGTTTGCGTCAATATTTATAACAAATATCTTAATTATGCATTTAATTTACGTTACAAGTATGAACTAGTTATCTCAATGATAAATGAATTGTTGTTATTCCTTGAAGTCTCGAGTTTAAGCACTAATAATGTCCGGGAGTGTAATAAAAAATGATTGAAAATTATCTTTAAATAAATATTATCTTTTTATTTATTCCAAATTAATTTAAAAAAAATCACGTATGGTATAAACTTTGCTTATAATTTTAAATTTTTCTTGGTAAAAGTAACTGTCTTTATTTGCGTAAAAAATAATCCATAAAACTATGCTTATTACTTTATCGACGATTGAACTGATTCACATGTGATTGATTGTTAAAATATCAAGGCATTCAGTGCAGATTGTTTTGACCAATCACGTACGTGAATTATAGATTCAGTCATTGATGTTTGGTATTGTAAATGGATTTAGATTTTTATTTATTGAAAAAAATAGTTATACTTGGTTGTAATAAAACTTAAATTCTTTTACTTTTCAAAGGCTGTGTTCTAGGGATCCCTTTTGTCAAAAATGTAGATAATTATAATGCGCCATCCCTCTTTTCTTCTTAGACTAGCACTGTACTTTGTCCTTTCTAGGACTTTGGCTTCAAAGTTTCGATATTGATAATGCGAGTAAATGAAACGAGTGATGACCATCGTAATCTACTTTATTTCATTCGTAAAATATTAAAATTTAAATATTTTACTAAATTAATTAGTTGTTGGTGTAATAAAAACGTTATTATGATTATAAAAAAAATTAGTAAACTATATAATGTCATTTTGATGTGATAATTATGTCGGTAATTATCTGTTACATTAATAACTGTCAATTATTATAGAGTTAATGATTTAATCATTTATTAATATAATTAAAATAAAAAATAGTTATTGTTATAATCAATAAAATTAAAAATTAATAGTATAACTTAGACCTAAAGTTCAATAATTTACTCTATGAAAAAGAAAAACCATATTAGTTCCCTATAAATTCAACACCCTCGTCTTTGATTAATCAAAGTGGTGTGCTTTAGCGATGGACTACCTCAATTTAGTTGATGTTGCACTAATTGGTTTTCCATTGCTACTCTTTCTCTCTTTCCTATGGATATCAAAGACCATCTCAAGAAATACAAACCAGAATAGAACAGCACCGGAAGCCGGTGGAGCATGGCCTATTATCGGCCATCTCCGCCTCTTAGGAGGGCGGCAACCACCTCACATAACCTTGGCTAACATGGCCGACAAATACGGAACAATCTTCACTATCAAATTGGGTGTGCATAGAGCTTTGGTCGTGAGCAGCTGGGAGATAGCTAAAGAATGTCTCACCTTAAATGATAAAGCATTTGCCACTCGTCCAAAGCTTTTAAGCATGGAACTCTTGGCATACAACTATGCCATGATCGCCACCGCGCCGTATGGACCCTATTGGCGTCAGGTGCGCAAGTTCGCCACTATCGAGCTCCTCTCGAATCATCGGCTCGACTCACTTAAACATGTTCGGGAATCCGAGATAAAGATGTCTCTTCAACAATTATATGAGCTATGGAACAGGAAGAGAAGCAGTAACTCTGATAAAGTATTGGTGGAGATGAGGAAATGGTTTAAAGATGTTACTCTTAACGTAATTCTGAGAATGATCGTAGGAAAACGAATACCTGAATCCAGTGAGAGAGATGATGAAACCGAGAAATGGAAGAAGTCGTTAGACGACTTAGTGAAAATGAGTGGGAAGTTCGTTGTATCCGATGCTCTGCCGTTTCTGCGATGGTTGGACATCGGAGGAGACGAGAAGTTCATGAGGAAGATAGCCGAAGAATCGGACCGAGTTGTCGATGGATGGCTGCGGGAGCACAAGTAGAAGATAGTAGAAGATGAGGCCAATAGTGAGAAAGATTTCATGGGAGTAATGCTATCTCTTCTTCGTGATGCAGAGGAGCACGATGCCGATACCATCAACAAAGCTACCAGTCTCGTATGTTCATATTTCTTAACCACATCCTTAGTTTTAATAAACTCATCATTGATATTTTAATGGTACATGATTAAACAGGTTCTCATCTTAGGTGGAGAAGATACAACATCCATTACAATGACATGGGCATTATCTCTATTACTCAACAATCGTGATGCATTGAACAAAATCCAACAAGAACTAGACATCCATGTCGGTAAGGACAATTTGTTCGTGACAGAATCAGACACCAAACACTTAGTTTTCCTTCAATCCATCATTAAGGAAACGCTACGCCTATACCCTGCTGCTCCACTCTCCATAATCCATGAAGCCATCGAAGAGTGTACGGTTAACGGATGCCATATTCCAGCCGGGACTTGGCTTATTCTCAATCTGCAAAAGATTCAACGTGATCCACGAGTATGGGAAAACCCTACTGAATTTCGACCGGAAAGGTTCATGATCAGTGCCAATGAAGGTGTTGATGTGAGGGGACAAAATTTCGAACTGATTCCGTTTGGGAGTGGTAGAAGAATGTGTCCTGGAGTTTCGTTTGCACTTCAGATTTTGCAGCTTACACTGGCTAATTTGTTGCACTGGTTCGAGTTTCAGACCCCATCGGATGAAGCGATCGATATGCGGGAAGCGGCTGGAATAACCAGTTCTAAAGCAACGCCACTTGAAGTTCATATAACTCCTCGTCTTCCTGCTTCTGTTTACGACTCCACCAGCTAGATGTTATTTTAAAAGTTAGCTTGTAATAATGAAAACAATTAATAAGTGTCTAAGCAAATGGAAGTTGTTTCAACCTCAATTTCCCAATACGTGTAACCATTGTTATTTCTCAGGTTATATTTTGAATAATGTGATTCAAAAAATGCCATTGCTTCCGAATAGCACTCATGTTCTGTTTCGACTTGATTCATCCATATGTCATGCACTATGCATAGGTTGATGATATACTTTTGACTGAAAATATACTCATTTATTATATGTCATATTGTATTATGCAAGAGATACACACTGTATAATTGATTAATCCATACGCCATGCATTGTGGATAGCTTGATAAACTTGTTACCTTGTATGATTGATAAACATGTCATATACATAGTCTATTTGATTCATCCACATGTCATGAACTGTAGATAGCTTGATGACATGTTATTGAATGGAAATATGCTCATTTATTGTATGTCATATTGTTTTATGCATGGAATGTACCATGTAGGAGGAAGACATTAATTCTTTAGTATACATCATACTATTGCTTGTTTTTGTAATACAACTACATATTAGCTTTTGCTTAAGAGGAGGACATGGATATCATCATCATTCACGCATGATTTGCATCAACTCCGTCGTTTTAAGAATATACAACAAAACTGATACTCTAGTAAATCGAGGTAAGTATTCAATCGAATCAGAGTCGAATCAAAATTATCGTGTTAGCAGGCACATATTATAAACTCAGTACTGTATCAACTCTGGAATTAGCTTTAAGAGAAACGAGAGCTCTTGCTGTGAGAACTGCACCTTTGACATTGCCTTCCCCTCCTCTTCCTTCCCTTCTTTTAATGGCTTAATAATCATTTTGTCCACAGCATGCGAGATCTCTTGAACAAAATCAACTATCACTCCGTCAATCCCCATCAAATGTTGCATGCATACAGCCTCCTGCACATTGCTGCAAATCACAAGATCAAGTATGATGTCGATGTTTACGATTTTATGTTCGGAATTCATAACATCAAAGATTATTCGGAACTTACTTGAGCTTGCCATATGAGAGGAGAGAGAGCCTGGCTTCTTTGATCATGGGGACTGCTCCTGGATTTCCGAGAACTCCTTTGATATCGGAAACAATCCCCTGTAAACCACCTTCCAAGCAGACCTATATGTCCTCCTCCAATGAATTTCTTCTTACATCATAGTAAACTTGAGTCCCACCGTTTGTTAAGAAGAAAACCTGTTCATTTTCCCAACACAGCATGTCTAAGAACAAAATGATGCCTGAAAATGGTGTAGTTTAAGTCCTTACAGGATATGTGTTCTGCAATTTCCTAACGAGTTGAGCAGAATCAGGGTGGAAGCTAGAGAAGATTATAGGCCTATCTTTAGCATACTCAGATACCACCTGTGTGTCAAGACGAAAATTAACCTCTTTGGATTCCATAATTAAAGTGAAAATATTTTTACCATCCTCTTGACCTTTTACCTGCAAGATGACTTGGAGAACACAGATGAGACGGTCTTGAAGGTAAACAACATTGTCATCAAATTTCAACTCAATGTTAAACCCTAAAGAAGGTTCAACTTTGTGGAAAGCTTCGGATAATGTACAAAACGGATCATCTGTTTGGACATTCCAGATAAGAATTTTCCCATCTTTTGATATTCTCAACAAACATTTCCCTTGGTTTTCCTGCTTCTTTCTGGGGTCCAAAGCAAAGAAGTTCTTCCAACGCAGATCTGTGACCTCTTTTCATGCACAGTTCCCTGAGAAAAACCAGAATAAAAATTTAACCTTTGGTAATAATTACATGAATTTCGAAGGTAAAAAGTAAAAATAAAGAAAGGGTAACATACATTTTCTTGAGATAATATGAAGTCGTCGTGGAAAATGACAGGGCAGTCATCTTTCGTCACCTACAAAAAACCACAAATTGGTTTTCTTTTACTTTTCCTGCCAGTTTTCTTTTTCATCACCTACATAGCTTTTTTTTTCTCCCAATTTCTTTACAAAATACTTTTTTTTTTTTAATTATTTAAAACAACACCAGGAAAAAAAACCCACCAAAAAAAATAAACATAAATCAGTAATCTTTAAAAAAATAATGAAAATCTATTTAGAAGAGTTTTGAAAACGCGCTTGTAGGGACGTGGGCACGTAAACATTGATCACTTGAATATAAAGAATCAAATACAACATATAACATTAAATCTTTAAATCAAAGATGCATAATTTGTGAGGAATACAAGTTCAAATTGATCGTTTGCCTCCTCCAGCTCTCAATATATATATATATATATATATGTATGTATATCACAAACACGACATTAATTAATTAAATTCTGCAAATCAATCATTCTTGTTATGATCTAAATCTTCATCTGTTCTTGGAACACGTTCATCGCAGAAGCTGGTAATCCCAGAAGAACGTTTATGCTTTTCCTCTCTTTGCCATGGGATAGGAACAAGATCACTTCCTTCTCCGGCAAGGCGACCGGCCCCGATAGAACCGGCTCTCCCCATCCAAAATCCGTGGTGTGGAAAGATAGCCTAGACCATGTGGTGATGAGCAGGGTCGATGACAAAGACGGCCTAGCTCTCGTGACCTCGAAGTAGTCGATGGCCGACCTCATGTAATCGTATGTGACCGTCTTGACCGCGTCTTGGATCAGCCCTACAGCATGTGAAAATGGCTTATCCAATAACTCGCCTGCTTCGCATATGGAATTCGTCAACACGATGCCGTTGCCGAAGTACCCTTTTGGTAGAGGCGGATTGAATTTAGTCCTTCCGTCCACGGCGAAGAGAAGCTTCGTTTGTTGGTCTGGCAGCATGTTAAGTGCCTTGGTTCGAGCCCTCCACACGAACGCCGAGAGCGCTTCGAATGTAGAACATTTCTCGAGGACCCCGTTCTCCATAGCGTCCTTCTTTAGTTTCTTGAGCTTCTCGGGCTTGAAACAGAACGACCTATAAAGCATTTCGCCATTGTAAAGCTCATCAGTGCTGGACTCGTCCTCTATCTCAGCGAATTCCCGATGCAGGTACTCGATCTTCGGTGGGATTCGAGCTTTCAGAATTGTCCTATCGGAGAATGGAGGAACGGTTAGAGGCAAACCTCGGGCTGTCTCTCCCCATGAATTGACAAACTCCATAGCACCAATGCCATCAAACATGCAATGGTTCATGCACAGGCCAAGCACAAATCCCCCGCATTGAAATTTGGTCACCTGAACCAATTATTCACATATATATTGAGAATTATTAATCAATGTTGAGCGCAAAGTTCAATCCATTAGACTTGTAATTAAACATACCTGAGCCACCAGAAGTGGCATCTCTAGTATGCTATTAGCACCAGGAATGTCATAAACCAGCTTCCTAAGAGTCTCGGGATCAGGCTTTGTTATGTCACCAATCTCCTCCATCTTACAATTCGCTTCAGCTTCGACAAATAACGCCCCTTCTCTGGTGCAGTCGACAACCAGTTTACCCTCCGAACTGATCGTTAGCCGTCCGGCAAGGGGATGGTAATGAGAAAGAACCTTTCTCAATGCATCCTTGATCACTTGAGCAGCATTTTCATTCCCCTTCTCTTCTGACTTAAAGCAATAAATGGTCCGAACAATCACGGCGATGTTTTGGTCGAGATTCGACAGAAAGTACAGACCCTTTTCCGTCTCTTCAGCCGGAGAAAGCAGGGTCGGCTTGCCTTGCTTCACGCTAAGACGAGATACTCCGCTATTGGACTTGTCCATTATAACACAACCCACAATAGTTTCTGCACCCTAAATCATAAAAAACCAAGAAATGATCAGACCATAAACATTTAAAAACCTGAGAAACAAAACCAATACCATATCTGTTCATTTCTGATGAAACAAACCATGTGAAAAAAAAAGCTGAAAAACTCAAGAAAATTGTTGCAGTAACAAAGGATTGCTTGCAGCAGCTGGATGCCAGTCACAAACTTGCAACGGTGTGATTGAACTTATCAGATATTTATAAGGACCTGAAGTGAAAATGACATTAAAGGGAACGTGGCCATGTTTGATTGGAGGCTGGCAAAGATTTGAAATTAGTAGGATATTGTAAAAATGGATGTTTCTTGTAAGGGAGAAGATTTGATATTTGGTGCATATGGGTTGGGGTTGGCCACTGGTCCAGGGGCACTGGGATTTGTTTGGTGGGGTTGGCATCCCAATTTTTATTCATTGCATATATTTCTTAGCGAAAATTATGTATTTAGTACATAAACTATCGGTTTTGGTCTGTTTTTACCTAAACTTTTAATTTTCTCAAAATTATACTTAAAGTTTAGTTTTTCTTTCATTTAGTACTTCTGTTCAAAATTTAACATTAAGTTTTGAAAAAAATTAAAAACATTTAGGTACTAAATCAGACCAAACTTGATAGTTTAGATATTAAACACATTAAGTTTTTAACGGTGGGGTACTAAAATAAAACAAAAACTAAACGTTTGATATGATTTTGAAAAAATTGCAAGTTTAGGGACTAAAATGGACCAAAACTGATAGCTTAGGTACTAACGGTATAGTTTACCTAATTTCTTACTTGCTTAGTAATTAGGGTAAACTATGCATTTATTCACACACCTATTTTGAAACTTCTGTTTTGGTCATCCAACTATTTTTTTCCAAACTTATACTTAATATTACGTTTTGGTTCATTTTTAGTCACACGCAGTTAAAAACAAACAAAATGTTGGCATGACACTCTTTTTAATTTTTTTTAATGATGATATGACATTATTTTATGATAATACGTCAGTATCACCGTCAATATTTTAATGGTATGTGATCAAAACATAACTTTAAGCATGATTTAAAAAAATAGTTGGATAAAAAAAATGGAACCATAGGAATAGGTAGGTGAGTAAATACATAATTTAGTCTATTAATTACTCAAAATTTACTTTTTCAAACATATCCTTCAACTTTTGAAAATAAGAATCACATCAGTTTCTTGAGAAAAATAAAATAAAATCACATCAGTTCAACAATTGGAGTAACCATTATGATGAATGTATATTTTTGCAGAAATAACTTAATCATTTGCACATATGATGTGGATGGGATCAATTAAATATATATCATTCCACCTAGGGTGGTCAAAAATACCCGACCCGTCGACCTATTGATCCGAACCTAAAAGACCAGGTAATTTTCTTTTAAAAAAAATACCCGACTGGATCGAGTACCCGACCAACATTTACCGGGTCGGGTCCGGCTCACAAAATTGAATTTTTCCGGGTACCCGAGTACCTAGTTAGGGATTGTTTTAGGGTAAATTACCTAATTTGGTCATTTATATATTATTTAATTTATGCTTTGGTCACTTGATTATTATTTAGGGTAAACTACCTATTTAGTCACTTATATATTATCTAATTTATGTTTTGGTTACTCGATTATCATTTAGGGTAAACTACCTATTTGGTCACTTATATATTATCTAATTTATGTTTTGGTCACTCGATTATTATTTATGGTAAACTACGTATTTTGTTACTTATATATTATCTAATATAATTCATATATATATTTTTATTTAGGGTAAACTACCTATTTGTTCACTTATATATTATCTAATTTATGTTTTGGTCGCTCGATTATTTTTTCTTCAAAATTATACCTAACGTTACATTTTTTATTATGTTTTGGTCACCCATATTTAAAAATGAACAATGATGCTAACATGACATTTTTTAATTATGTTTGGATGTTGGACTAACATTTTTTTAATTATGTGTGGGTGTTGCATTATGTAATTCGAAGTTTCAAACATTTAAATTTGTGTGTGTTTTTTAATTAATAATTTGAAGAAAAAAAACCCGAATATCCGAGTACCCAATTACCGGGTACCCGCAACGTCTGGGTCAGGACACGGGTCGAGAAATCAATTACCCGAAGATCCGAGTATCCAACACTTCGGGTACCCGAAAACTCGGGTACTCGGACTTGCACACCCCTAATTCCATCTAATAAAACATTTCAAAAAGATTAATAACAATTTCATGTAAAAAAAATTCAATAAGAACTTTAAAAAGTAAATTAATCCTAATATTAAAAAAATCATAATAGCATAACCAAATAGTGCATTTGTACATACTAATTTTGAGAGAATAATTTTTAAGCCTTCAAAATGTAATTAAAAACAAAAGGTTGCTTAATATTCATTATATCGACGGATTAGTTGTAGGTTAACTACTTCCATTGAATTCGCCAAATGAAAGATGGCTAATTTGTGACTAAAATATTGTTAGGTGGCACTGACTCATTGGTTTAGCAAGCCTTGTTCATATTTAATTTTGAATTGAAACGGGTCAAATAAGCAAAAAAAAAAAAATTAGATTACCAACAAACGTAAAATTTGAACGACAAAGTCGTGATTAAAATGATAAAATTATTATTATTTAGTATCATTAATGTCACACCCCCAAATTTTGGGGTTAAACTGAATTGAATAAGAATTTTTTAAACTTTTGCAAGTTTCTCAAAAGTTTAGAGACTTGTAGCATAGTTTACCCAAAACTTTTGGATTAACACCCATAATCCCGTTTCAATTATTTAACGTTCACGGCGTTACAGATGTGTCACAGATTTTAAAATAATTTCTGAATAATTACTCATTTCTTATTTACATATATGAAAGAGGTGTAAATTTACTTTAAAAAAATTAATATGAAAAAATATTATTGATCGGAATCACAGATGACACGGTGATCAATAACCATCCCAATAATTTCTCTGTTTCAACCTTCCTTTATGTTTTCTTTTATTATTGTTGAGAATTTTCCGCCGCTCACTCTCCTCCCAACTAGCCATTGTTTTGGCTTTTCTTTGAAAACTCCACAGCCAAGAGTTTCGTTCAGCTGCCGGAGAAGAATAGAAATTTCCTTCAAAATATCTCTGAACTGTATCTTAAAAGCTCATTTAAAATGAATTACAAATTTCTTTTAGCCCAAAAGTCAAAATTGCCATTAATGAATCCTATTATTTACCTCCATGCCATTTTTTATCTCCATTTTAATATTCTTATTTAAATATAAAAATCCCATTTAAAATTTTCCCTTTTTGCCCTTCTAATTTTCAAAAAATTCAATTTAGTTATTGAATTTCTCTATTCCGCTTTATAGTGCAAATTCCACTAATCCACATCAAATACCATTGATTCAAATTATCATTATAAATTTTCTAACTCAAAACTACCTTCCTTTAAATTTTTGTAAGCTTCATATTCGAACCAGATATTTGAATATTATATCGATCTTTATATTTTAACAGACTTTTATACAAACTCCATATCAAAAAAATGAAACCCACTAAATTTATATTCTTGGGCTGAACTTTTAGTGAGATTTAAGACTAATTTGTGAAATAAGAAAATGTTCTACACTAGTTTCTCTACAAATTGATATAAGTACTGCATTGTTTCATGTTGAAATGTGAAAATGGGTATTTTTGGTGGATATCGGGGAAGTTGAATTTGATTGAAATTAGGTTTGATTTTGATCTTAGAAGTGTTATGAAATCATATACATGCTTAAAGCTATTTAAAAACCACTAAGGGAAAAAGTTGTAAGTATTTGGTCATGTATGAGTTTTATGAGAAATATTAATTTTTGGTTTTTTTTATATGAAAATGGTTAGAAATGATTGGGAATGGATGAAATTGAGTTGTTGATGATGAAATTGAGTTTGAAACAAAGTTGGAGACCATTAGGAGAAATTCTTGAAAAATTAGGTCTAGGTGGAAATAAAAAGGAAAAATTTTGTAAAAATTTCTTTAAGGCTTAGAATGGATGTAAGAATAATTTAATGTGATTGGAATTAAGTTTTGGATCAATTTGGAGTAATGTTAAACTTAAGGGACCTTTTTTCTAGGTTTTGTGAAGTTGAAAGATTATTGGGTAATTGTTGGGAAATTGAAGTACTATACTGGAAATAAGTGTTAAGATGATGAATTGGACTATTTTGGAAGATGGTGAATGATGAAGAATTAAGTTGGAAGTTTAAGAAAAGTTGGTGATGAAATAGCAAAAATGCAAGATTGAAATATTTGATTTGAAAATATTATATGAAGTTGTATATGGTGACTAACATGGAATAAAAGTGATGGATAGAGATTAATGGTGAGATGTTCGAATTATAGAGATTAAATTTAAAGAAATATGTAGTTGTGGGTTAGTTGTGAATTTATGGGAAGTAAAGTGAATTTTGGATATGGAATATTAATTTCAAGAACTAAGAAGTGTATTTTGTAAAACTTGGGTTAGAAATTAGTTAAGTTGGAGAAAATAATATCGAATATATATTTATTATGTTTTTGACATTTTATTCAAATATATGTTCATGGAAATTTTTAGAATTTTACTCGAATTCGAGTTTATTATATTATTAGTAAAAGTACTAATTAATATTTTAAATTGAATTTGTCGGTGAAAATGATGATGTGTAGCTTGCGATCAAAATCAAGCTCCGAATGAGTTAAGAAAGGAGAGGATAAAATTCAAGAATAAAGTGAACGTAGTGGTAAAGCTAGAGAGACAACAGGTAGGTGCAACTAACTTTTTGTTTAATATAGTAATAGGAAGACTTGCAATAAGTTAATCTCGACCGGTCTAAAAGAAAATATTTTTAAATCGTATTTTGAATGTATACATTTTATTATTATTTTATTTTATATATAGCATGTGAATATTTTTTGGTATGAACTACCCAAAATCCGATTTAATGAGAATTGGTTTATATCTGATTTTATGGATGCTTTTATAGGTAAAATTAGTACTTGATTTGAAATTAAGCATATTATAAGAGAACGAGGGTTAGTGGTACAATGACATGCCATGAGGTGGAGTGATATCTGATTACTGATCTAATCTGGTACATTCATGTACATTTGTCTAACACTAAATGTGCATTATGATATTCATGATGTTTTGACGTCACGGATCATCATATCTGTTTCTGATTTAGTATAGTGGTACTGCGTTTTACGGTACCTATACTTTTATTTAGCACTAAAAGTGTTATATGTTATTGGCAGTAGATCTGCGTATAGCGTGCACACTCGTTATCTAACTCACGTACCATATATTCTCATGAAAAAACAGTAGGCAACAATTTGATTTGAATAGAAAAATATAAATCTGAAATGGCATAGTATAGTTGACTTATGGAATTTTTATAGTGTTGTTCTTATTAAGAACATATGTTTTGATAATTATATGTATTTTATTTAATAATGCTTTTATATGATATCATTTATTTTATTTGTTAAATATTTTATCTATATTATTTGTTGTCTCACTAAGTAGAAAATTTAGTGTGTAATTGTTTTACACGTAGGTGAAGTAAAGTTGATAGAGGAGTAAGGAGCCAGGCTAAACATTCATATTTTGAGATCCAATTCATATATCCAAAATCAGTATGATATATTTCTGATGTTTTTTTTTTATATTTCTTAGTTGGCATGTACATATTTATATTTCTGATGCTCTGATTCAATATGTCTGAAATGCTTTGATTTTAATTATATATGCTAGTTTTATAATTGAATATTATTAAATATGAATAATATTTTAGTTTAGTTTAAATGAATATTAAATTGACTAGTTATTTTAAAAATTGAAGCTCGACTCGAACTATAACTTTAAGTACATGAAAGCTTTATATTATATTTTTTCTAAAAAAAATAACATGTAAATGTTAGTATTATTAATAATTTAATTTAAAATATAAATTTTAATATATTATTTTTTTTGAGTAGCTTGCGAGCTGTTCGAGTCAGTATCAAATAACTCGTTTTGGCTCGTTAAAAATTCGAGTTGAATTCAAGCTTGAGTCAGTAAATTTTACTCGAATGTTTACTAAACTTTAACCGAACAAATCTTGAATAACTTACGATCTATCTCTTCTCATTTGCAATTAAAAGTGTTTCTCAATGTTTTTTTATTGTAAAACCACTTTTTTTTAATGCAAAAATATTTTTTAATTATTCTCAAATGTATCTTTAGAAGAACAAACGTCTCCTCCTAATAAATTAACTGATAGGTTTTTTTTCATTTATTAGTATTAATTTTTCTTTCACGTGGGCAACCATGATCTAATTATGATATATAGATTAAATATTACTGCTTTATTGAGTACATCATCTATTAAAAGTTATAAAATAGTCCTCTAATAATAGAATATTATTTTATTTAATCCATCGATTTTTAAAAATTATAAAATAATCACTCGACTATTCATTATGTTCTAAATTCTTCATTTTTCATAAAAAAACGATGGTTGTCTAAGCTAGACATTAACATGATGACTGAAATATGATTGTTGCTTGAGATTCTAGGATCAAATTTTATCATATCAGAGTCAGCAAGTTAACGTTTAGCTCAGAATACCAGAAAATGAAAAGTTTGAAACATAATGAATAGTCAAGTTATCATTTTGTAACTTTTAATAGTTGAAGGACTCAACAAAATAACATTTTATAATTGGAGAACTATTTTATATCTTTTAATAGTTGATAGATTTAATAAAGCAGTACCCTATTGTCGGGGATAATTTGTGTACTTTACCCTATTATTTACTATTACAATGTTGGTTCCGAGTCTTACTTAAGGACCGACCTCCCAGGCTTGGCTTACGCCCCTTGCAATGAAACGATTTTCATGATAAAACTGTCATTACCATTTCGGTTTCTTCTCTAGTTTGTTCCTCCATTTTTGTTTTTCTGATTTTGGCTCACTTGTTCAATCTGCAGCAACATGTTTAAGGCCAAGGCCAATGACATCAAGAAGGAAGTGGTTCGCCTGGAGCGTGAATCCGTTATTCTCACTCTCAAGCCTAAAATCATCATGACTTTGTCCAATCTCATTCGTACGTACCCACATTCTCTTGTATAATGGCATCATCTTTGAGTTTCAAACTGTTGTTTTTTCTTTTCATGTGTCGCAGAACATAGTACAGATCGGGCTGAGTTTGTGAAGTTCTGCAAGCGAGTCGAGTACACGGTTCGAGCTTGGTATCTTCTTCAGTTTGAGGATTTGATGGTAACATAACCCTTCAACCATTTTGTCCCTTTATCTTGTCTTCTTGTTCTAATTTCGTTTTGTTTTTGTTAGCAATTATTCTCCCTCTTCGACCCTGTACATGGGGATCAAAAGTTGCAGCAGCAGAATTTAACTCCTGCTGAAATCGATCTACTTGAGCAGAATTTCTTGACATATTTATTTCAGGTATTCTTCTTGCTTCTAATGGAACAAAAATGAAATTGCACAAATTCTTGAAATTCCCTTTGTTTTGGTGTACAGGTTATGGAAAAGAGTAATTTTAAGATAGTTTCAGATGATGAGATTGATCTTGCTACTTCTGGCCAATATCTTCTTAATCTCCCCATTACAGTTGATGAAACAAAGGTCATCTTCAACTTCATGTGTTATGCACATTATCTGCTCAAATTATTAATCTTTCATTTGAAATACTGCAATGTGTGTTCTCTCATCTTACATCATGCTTTTTTTTCCTTACCGAATTCAGATTGACAATACACTTCTAAGGAAATATTTTGCTGATCATCCTCGAGATAACCTTCCATATTTTGCTGATAAGGTTGTGGATCGCATCATTCTCGATAAATGTTCATCGAACATATTCGAAATACAAAGATGATTCAGTACCATATTTGAACATATTTGATTAACAAGTATTGGTTTGAACACTCTTTTTCAAGCTAAGTATGGTTTTTTTGTGTCTAGTACATCATCTTCAGACGTGGGATCGGAATCGATCGAACAACTAATTTTTTCTACATGGAGAAGGTAGACATAATCCTTGCACAGCTTTGGGCACTTCTTATGAAGCAAACTAGGTGAGTATGTTCTGGACAGTCATTTCCTTGTATCAGTGCTTATGGCTTATTCTTGGTGAATGTACCTTTCCATACTGTTGCTTAGATGGAATTCTGAAGACTTTTGGAAATGTTCCTTGCAGGTTGGGCAACATTTTCTGCAGAAAATCAAGAAGGGCGCATAAGGAATTGCCAAAGAAGGATGAGGACCTTAGTGAAGAATTCTATGTCGAGCGCGTCGGTCTCGATAAAATGGAACTAAGGTTGTTATCTTGGTAAAACAGTTTTCATTAATGAACATTATGTACCATATCATCTGGAGCCTAGTGTCTTTCATGAGAATCTTGAAATTTGCTTTACATCTTATATGCTTCTGGTGTTGTTTCTACTCGGTAACTTTCTTCTTTCAGCATTCGGAACTTGATTACCAAGGCTACAATTCAAGAACCGACGTTCGAGAGGATAATTGTTGTTTACAGGTACTTTCTGCTGCATCTTATCATACATGTTTCCGATTGCATCTAAATAGTATGGTGAACTTCCAGGAAATCGAGTCAAGGACCGAAAAAGGATCGAGGCATACATATAAAGCATTTCAAACATATTCCTATGGCAGATCTGGAAATAGTCCTTGTGAGTCTACCTTATTAGCTCTTTTGCGACTTAAAGTCGTTATACGACATGGTGATATTGGGCATCACTTTACATTCTGTATGCTTTTTTAACAGCCTGAAAAGAAGAATCCTGGATTAACTCCTATGGATTGGGTCACATTCATTGCCTCTGCTGTAGTGGGGCTGGTCAGTTAAGCAATCATCGTTCTCGCTCGTTTCATCTTCGCCCCACCATTTCTTACTGTATTTATATTGAAATGAAAAGCCCTATTCCACAGGTTGCAGTGATCACTTCTCTTGAAACGCCTAAAGCTGATATGTGGGTCATTTTTGCTATTCTGTCAACAGTGGTTGGTTACTGTGCTAAGACTTACTTAACGTAGGTTTTCGTCCATCTTTGATCAATTCGTGTACATGGTAAAGCATCAGGGGCGTTGCCTGATTGTTTCTCGAATTGCCATACAGGTTCGAAGCGAACATGGCTGCATATCAGAACCTAATAACACAGTCCATGTACGAAAAGCAACTCGACAGCGGAAGGGGAACTTTGCTTCACTTGTGTGATGATGTGATCCAACAGGAAGTAAGCCTGCTTTCTTTCCCTCAATTTCAAGCAGATTTGCCTGTCAAAACCAATGAACATAACACAGTCCATGTACATAATGTTGTGTGCAGGTGAAAGAGGTGATCATTGCATTCTTCATACTAATGGAGCAAGGTAAAGCCACTGCCAAGGTACGATGCATATACGGCATACTGTACGAGGATTGAATCGAAGAGATAAAAAAGAAGTGTATTGCATAATGTGCTGATAAATGGATGTAGGAATTGGATCAGAGGTGTGAGGAACTACTAAAAGAGGAGTTTGGGGAGAGCTGCAACTTTGACGTGGATGATGCACTTGCAAAGCTACAGAACTTGAAAGTTCTTACTAAGGTCAACACAAACTAGGTTTTACATGTTTGTGTGTGTGTATATATATGTAGATGTTATTCATTGGTTTTGGTCTAAGTTGATGAATGTATAACATGGTGTACGAAATGCAGGATCCTACTGGGAAATATGCCTGTGTGGGATTAGCGCGTGCTAATGATATAATTGGTGTGACCACTGAAGAAGTAGTGCTCAAGGCAAGACAGGGTGCCATGTCATCTTGATTTGTGGAGATTTCAGCCTTGGTAAGTTGTTTTTTTGTATAATGACAAAATCAGTCTCTATTGTTTGTCTGAAGGTCATTCTGGTACATATTCTTTTCTTTTTTTTGAAATATTTTAACTCCCGATGTTTCAATTTTTTATCAAAATAACTCATATTGGATGAAAATCATTAGTTGACTAACCAGCAATTCATATTACTAACATGAAATTTACGGTCACACGCCCTATGACAGGAGCAAATTATGGTCGCACACTCACAGAATACAAGCAGATAATTCCTGCGGTTTGAATCTATCATGTAGGTTGGAGGGCTGAACAGCCATGGGGGTTCGTATTGGATTCATTTGTGACCTGAATTATTAATATTGACGCAGCTCAAAACTGTAGTATTAAGATCATGCAACTATTCCTTTCCTTTTGGTTTCAGGTGGGAGGGCATGTGTTGTTGCATTGGTCTTAAGTTGAATATCAAGTAATCAACAGCATTAAGAAGCATGCTTATGTTGAGTTTGAATTATGTCTATATAGTTTACTATAATTAATATGTTCACAAATTATGTCATCTTGGTCATCTTGCAAAAGTATTATTTGTAACATATACTCATGTATCTTAATCTTGGATTGTATTAATTGATCATTTTTACTTTGGAGAGTTGGGTGAAGGCTTACACTAAGGGATTCTCCAATGATGACACTTAGAGAGTTGGGTGAAGGCTTTATATTCATCCATTTCCCATCTTTGCTTTGGATCTCCAATCCATCAACCTCGTTTCATACAAAAGAGTCGGCATATTCTGGTCATGGCGCTCAACCATCCCAGCGGTTGGCTTGCTGGTGTTGGACCCTTCATATTTCATGGCCCTTCGCTGATAATTTGTGGAGTCGATGAGTTCATCCATGTCTTTCTCAACCCCAAAACTCTCTGAAATCATCCTCATAATCGTCTTCTCTAATTCCATTACTAGCCAAGCGAATGATACCATAGCTTTACTGCCAATTTTAATTTTGAAAAGAAAAAATGTTCGCTTCAGGGTTTTTGCAAGTGAAGTGTGTGATATGTGTGTCCGTTTTTAACGACCAACAAAGATTCTGAAACACAAAGCCTTTTTGTTTGTGAAGGCAAGTGGAAGAGCTCTTCCAAGGTTCTAAACACCGGACTCCGAAGCTCCTCGACTCGGTCGAACAAAGCCCCGAAGCAGCCGTACTCCTCTAGTGCTTCCCGGACTCAATGTTTCGTCGAACCCCATTCATGGCTGCCCGGCTTTATGGAGTCTTGTTTTGAGAAATCTATAACCGGGATCATAGCTATCTCTCTGTCGAGCTCTGCCGGGGTTCTTTTGGTTCTCTCTTTCTCTGCAACTAGAAATCGGAATCACAATGGTAGTTGCCACGGCATGATCTTGAAACATTAATTACATCATTTTAATCTTAACTATCACATTTATTCCGTTTTGGTCATTTAATTATTTTTCAATATTTTTTCTAATGTTTAGTTTTGATTCTATTTTGACCACAACTCGTTAAAAATTTAACAATGATAATATCATGTCATCATTAAAGAAAACACCAAATCATTAAATCAGTTAATTTTTAATGGTGAGGGATCAAAATGAAATCAAAATATAATGTTAGATATGATTTTAAAAAATAATAGTTGAATGACTCAAACATAACAAAAGTGATAGTTTGCATACTAAAAGTGTAATTTACCCGAATCTAATATCAGAAAATAAAATATGTAATCATGACATATGTGTCATGCATTGTCCTCGTGCTTGCATTTCTCCTACCAATTTTCTTAATTAATTATGTAAGCAATGGTTTCGGCTGTCAGGTTTAGAGGTTGTTTGTTTGTTTTTTATTAGAATCATTCCGTCTCTAAATGATTCAGTGTTGACTGATTCAGTAAAACATTACTTAATGATTCAACACAGAAATACATTTAAAATTATCCAGAGCCATTATCAAACAACATATCACATTCAGAGCTAATTCATACAGAGTCTCTAAATCATTCAACATTTGAATCATTCAGCGTTTAATCATTTTGAAGTAAACAAACCACCCCTTATTTTAATTTTCTTTGGAATTCCAAAAACTTGAATTATGGTAAAATTACTCAAATATTATATTTGAGTTTTTCAGTTTAGAAAATAGTACACATTTTTTAACATTTTTATTTTTCAATCAATTATATTTGTCACAGTAAAAGCAAAGTCGGTCAAATTATATACCGACTTCACTTTTATTTTATTTTTAAAATTAAAAATTTAAGATTATATATTTACAAACCGACTTCACTATTTAATCTCTTTAATTTAAAATCAGTATTTTACAAAGTGAATAATTATTTAATAAAGTGAAATTTTAAATTAAAAAATAGTGAATATTGAAGTTGATATGTAACTATACCAACTTTAATTTTTTTTATTAATAAAAAATAAAATAAATAGTGAAATCGATATGTAATTCAGCCGACTTTAATTTTACTATAACAAATCTGATATATCAAAGTTCATATTCTCCGAGCTACCTATATTACATTGACAAGATCTATGATAAACTCACATTATCTATCAGAATAAAGTTTATGATATGACGACTAAATTTATTTAGCTTGATAATCTACGAATAACTATAATAATCAGATCACATTTTTTTCCTCTTAGACTCTAATTTTCTCTTTATATCTTTTTCTTTGATCTCTGAAAAAAAAACTAATTGATGAACGCTACTTTAACGGTTGTGGCTCTTCATCCAATACCAAAAGGGATAAACCGCTATGATCAGCGAGATAAACTTATTCCCATCAAATTAATAATAAAATAACGTAATACATGTCCAGCACCCTATCTGATTTAATGTCCCCTTCACCGGAGAAGTGACTCTTATCCCAACCAGAGGGATTACCTCCCCCTCAACATCCTCCGAAGAACTATCTCTACCCTCACGAGGCATTCTTATATGAAAAACAACCAAGTAATTTTTACTTCTCACATTTATCTGAAATATTGACAATTAGTCACTTAATAATTTTTATCTAATCATGTGATATTTTGCTCCAAATTGAAACGTTAAGACTGAAATATTCAAGAAAAAATAGTAGAAGACAAAGTGATATTTTTATATTTTCTCTCTTTTTTTTAAACAAATAAGTATTATATTTTTTTATAGTAATCAAATATTGAGATTCGAACTCACATAAAATGAGACAATATAAACATCCTTAGCCACAAGATAAATTATTGAATCTTGATATTTTTTCTCATATAATTTTGAAAATAACTTTTTATTAAAATTATAAATAATCTCTAATTGAGGAGGGCAAGTCTAACCCTAAAAAAATATGTTACAAAAACAGAGAGAATATCTATCATATTTATAGGAAGATTTATTAAGAAAAAATCAGATTTGCAAAACAAAATCTAGAAAAGAAGAAGTTGAGCTGCAAATCTAAACAATGCAGAGATATGGGCATTATTGATTTTAAAATAAAAAACAGAGTCATGTTAAGCAAATGGCTATGGAGAAATGGAGTTCAGCACTCAAGCCTGTGGATCAGTAGAATTAGAGTACAATAGTCAGAGCATGTTATATCGACTGTATGGCTATAATTACATCGACAGTAGGAGTATCAAGAATCAGTAGATTGATGAGGATGAATCTGCTTGAACAGGTTACCTCGAAATTTATTGATGACATTGAAGCATAGGCATATATGCTCCTCGAGTTCTTTGAGCTGGTCAAGAATTTTACCGTGGTTATTGCGAAGATGATTCACAACTTGATATATGGGGTATATGTCCCTACCCCTCTCGAGTCCGATCCGCATAAGGTCCTTGTCTCGCTCGACCGAATCATGTAACCGGGCAACAAGGCAGACAATGGTGTCAAGGTCATTGATATGGTGAAAAGACCCACCGTAAGCAGCTTTCAGTTGAGCAATGTGTTTCTTCTTGACATGACTCGGAACATAAATGGGACAAAGCGGGGTAGCGAAAAGGCCTACAATTGCAGCAAGTGCATGAGTGGAGATAACCACGGCTGTAACGGCGATACCAACGACAGTGCCGATGAGACAAATGGCTGATCGAGTCATTGCGCGGTCCAAGATACGACCCCTAGAATGGGATTTGTGGAGGCGCTGATCAAGCTGTTCCTTGAGCTGGGAGAAACTGCGGCTCATTTCGTTGAAGTTATGAGAATCCCGTGAAGGAAAAGGATTGTCCAGGCTATCGAATTTGAGGAAAATATCGAAAGCCCAGTCACACTGCGAGTGATTGATGGAACTTAGTTCATTAGGGAACACTTCAAGAAGCTCAGTAATGGGACCATAAAGGAAACGGGCATTAGATATGCATTTGTGGAGTTCGAGGCAGAGAGTGCAGATGTTTTCGCTGTGATCGAAATAGGTAGAAACCAAGCGAGTGAGGGTAGCCTTGGGATCGATGTGGCGAAGAGCTTGGTGGACGGATTCTCTGTCGGGGTGCAGTACCTGCGACAAATTCAGCTGATGGTTATCGACGTGCTCTTGATCTCCAATTCTAGAGCGAATCTCATTGCAAGAATTGGTCTGCAATGCGCGATTGTATTCTTCACGGATATTGAAGGAGGGTGATAGCTGAGTTGTGCTGGATCTGGGTGTTCCGTCACATTCAGTTGAATTCCCTGAAATAAATAAAGCAATTTTCATTGAGGCATTTACACAAACACTTCCCGTGTCATTAAGAAAAGGATCATCAAGTAAAACCAAGAGAGAGTTACCCTGCGAATGTGTTGGGGGGCAAGAATTTACACCGTTCTGATGAATTTGAGATTGAAATTGGGACTGAGGCGAGCTGGGAAACGATTGGGCCGATGAATTGAGATTGAAGGAGAGGCACTGCATCTTCTTCAACAATGGCCGAAACCCCACACAGAAAAAAAAGGAAATGAAATGGTTTGTTTCACTTTTAAGAAGATCGCAGTGATTCTTTTCCAGAATTTTTTATCGAAAAATTAGAGGAGGAAGAAGAAGCTAGGAGACAGGGTGCGTGGATTAAAATAATATACATTTATTTTCTATTTAGTTTAATTTAATCAAGAAAAACATATGAAGAATCAGATTTCAAACATTGACAGCTGAACTGCTGGCTAAGAAAAGTCAATGACGGGCTTTATTAATACTTACATGGGCTTGGTCACTTGGTTGTAGGGTAAGTCTCATTTCTTTTAACCTAAGTTTTTTTAATGTAAATTGATTTTAGGGTAAATTATGTAAACGGTCATACAATTATAGAACGTTATTTTATTGAATTCTTTGATTATTGGAAGTTACAAAATGATCTCTTGATTATAATGTATTACTTTGTTGAGTCGTTTGATTATTAAAAGTTATAAAGTAGTCACTTGATTATTCATATGTTCCAAACTCGCCCCTTTCCGTTAAAAAATTGGTTCTCGGCTGAGCCGGATGTGAAACTGCTCACTGAGATATGATAAAATTTGATTTTCAGAGTTGCTTTGATTTACTTTTTTGTTGATCGAATCTCTGTTTACATTATATCATCAATCTAGTGCTTGAAATATTATGTCGTCAAGTCAATGTTTGAAATAAACAATGATACCAGTAGACATCATTAAAATATAATTTTATCATATCTCAATTAATATATTAACGTTCAAATCAAATGGTCATCGACTTTTTTAATAAAAAATCAATAAGTTTAGAACATATAAATAATTGAGTGACAATTTTTATAATTTTTAATAGTTAAGGATTTTAATAAAGTAATACCCCATAATCAATGGATTATTTTATAACTTTTATTAGTCGAAGAATAAAAAATAACATGAAAAATTTGTACGTTGAAAAAGTTGTTTCTTTTTCTATGAACCAAACAAAAATATTTTTTCTGCTATATAAAATGTTTAATGTGAGCTTGCAATGTATCTTCTAAATAAGTAAAAAAGAACGAGAGTGTTTATACAAATATATATAATAAAGTCAAAGTTTAGTCAATATGCATGTAAAGTGTTACATTAGCACTACATCATCTTCGATAACGGTAGTTACGGATAAATGATCGATTTATTATAAATCAATAATATTCATGATAAATTCGTTAATTTTAAAATTTCAGTGAAAAGAATAAAAAGTCACACTAAACACTAATAATCATTTATGTAATTTACCCTAAAATTTAACGCCTCACGTGATGTGAGCATGAAAGCAAACTAAATATTTAAGGACTTCAATTAGATTTTTAAAAGTTTAGTGACTAAAACGAAAGAAACCTAAACGTTTAGTAACTTCCAGTGTAGTTTTCCTAACTTATTATTATGTTAAAATTATAAATAAATTCGCGTTCGGGCGTGGAAAACCGCCCGCCCCGCCCCGATTTGGTCATCGGCTTTCCTGACTTCCAGTTCTTGCCGTTCAAAAGACAAGCCAGGCCTTTCGAAATCCCTTTATTTGGTACGCTCTTCTTTTGCCTATTCGTTTTCTGTATGAATAAATTCTCTCTCTTTTTTTTTTAATTCGGAACGGAAAGTAAATTACATCTGGGTAGCCTTGATTTGCATATTCCTGTCCGCATAGTCCTTAACCCATAACTTGTTTGATTTCTTTTTGCATTCTGGAAACCATTGATTTTGATGTTAATTGTTCATTAAATACTAGTTAACAGTAATATACTAACTATAAGAGCATTGATAAAGATTGAAGGAGGAAACAGGATTATGAATTTATGAGCAATGGCTGCTTAATCATATTTAGCTAAAATTTGAGTTGTTTACGTATTATTCTTAGGCTAGTCATCATAAGAGAATTTAGGGTTTAAATGAAGTTTATTTCCTAGGTCAGAGCTAAAGAGGAATCACATAGGTAATAGATTTGACGATGTTAGCTTATCCACCCATTGTCTTCTCTTATCTAAGTGGATTCTGCTGTCTCTTTAATTCACCTTTGGCTATTGACAATGATGAAAACATTTCTTTGCCTTTTAAGAATCCATATATCTGCTCTTCAAAAACAGCTGACTGAATTCTTCTTTTACTTCAGACCTTGTTTCATGATTCATGGAGAATGGAAGTGGGAATGATCCATGCCAAAGTTCGGCCTTACAGGAAGATGTTTATCAAGGTATTGGTAATTATACACCACTTTTGACTTGTTAAATATTTTTCCTGTTGATTCTTACAGTGTATTTCTTGTTCCTTGGCTATCTTATTTTGATTTGATTTGCTCCATTTCTGCACCTTAAGGGGTCGTTCTGATTGTTGCCTTTTTTTAATCTTTTTTGTTTCCGGTTATTAAAACTGAGAACATGTTTGTTGTAATGTTTTCGTTGCAATAACATAAAAAGAAAGAGTATAGAAGCGATTGGAACTGAATTAGGATAGTTGTAAGGTTCGATTCTTTGTGCTTACAGTGTTGAATTACAAGAGTTGTAAGGATTTGACTCATTGTGCTTACCATTTTCATTTGGTTAACATTTTTTTACTGATTTTCATAGTGTGGCCACCTTGGTATTGTTTGTTCGTGTGTAACAGTACTGAAAACGTTACCAAAATTTAAAAAACAAAAATCTGCTTCCAACAACATCGAAAATTTTGACCTTTTTAAAAAAAAAACATTGGCCACTAAACAAAAAATAGAAGCATTCCGAAATGTGCCCCAAGCCATTCATTATTATTATTTTATTATGGTTCTTTGTTTTTCTTGTTTGTGCGAGTGCGTGTTACCTGCACCTTTTTTTGTTCTGTTTGTGAACCTTCAGTATTTCATGTTGAATGACCATTTTCATTATAGAAATTAACTGGTTACAGACCTTTCATAAAACTTTGTTTTTCTTCCTTTTCTGGCTTGCATCTTGGAAACTTAAGCTCAAACTTACCTATTTACCACATTGAATTTTCCACCCATTTTGCAGATGATGGTATTAAAGTGAACTCTAAAGATCAGAGAGATGCTCTGGTGGGAGAACCGAAATGTGTTATTTGTGGCCGTTATGGTGAATATATATGTGATGAGACGGATGATGATATTTGCAGCTTGGAATGTAAGCAAGCTCTACTCTTCAGGGTTGCTAACTCCTTGTTGCCAGTTTGCTCATCATCTCCTCAAAGATTACCTGCTACTGATGAATGCTTTTATGTTAGAGATTCTGTTGACAGATCAGGCCCTCCATCTTTAACTTGTGATCAAACTGAATTGCTTAGAAAGAAACTTGAAATCAATGTAAAAGGAGATGTGATTCCTGCTCCAGTATTGGCATTTTCTTCCTGTGGGCTTCCTCAGAAGCTCGTACAAAATATGGAAACTGCAGGGTATGTCATGCCAACACCGGTCCAGATGCAAGCGATCCCAGCTGCTTTAGATGGCCAAAGCCTGCTTGTTTCAGCTGACACAGGCTCTGGGAAAACTGGTTCCTTTCTTATTCCTATTATTTCTCTTTGTGCAAAATTTCGCCAGAACTTCTCAAATCCCAGAAAGCCGTTAGCAGTGGTTCTAACACCAACTAGGGAACTCTGTATCCAAGTTGAGGACCAAGCTAAGGTGCTGGGAAAAGGTTTGCCATTCAAAACTGCACTTGTGGTTGGTGGAGATCCCATTGCTAGACAACTATATCGCGTTCAGCAAGGAGTGGAACTAATTATCGGAACACCAGGCAGGCTTATTGATCTTTTAACCAAGCAGGATATCGAACTAGATGATGTGAAGATATTTGGTCTGGATGAAGTGGACTGCATGCTTCAAAGGGGCTTCCGGGACCAGGTGATGCAGATTTTTACGGCTCTGTCCCAACCCCAGTTGCTGATGTATTCTGCAACAATTTCACAAGATGTGGAGAAAATAGCAAGTTGTATGGCATCCGATATTATTATTGTTTCTATTGGCAAGCCTAACAGGCCAAGCAAGGCCGTGAAGCAACTAGCTATCTGGGTTGAGTCAAAACAAAAAAAGCAAAAGCTTTTTGACATATTAAGGAGCAAACATTTTATGCCTCCTGCAGTCGTCTATGTGGGTTCCAGAACAGGAGCAGATCTATTGTCTGATGCAATTACCACCACCACCGGAATTAAAGCTTTGTCAATACATGGTGTTAAGTCCATGAAGGAAAGGAGGGAAATATTGAGGTCGTTTTTAGTCGGAGAAGTTTCAGTAGTTGTGTCCACAGGAATTTTGGGTCGCGGAATGGATCTTTTAGGAGTGAGACAGGTCATAGTGTTTGATATGCCCAATTCCATTAAGGAGTACGTCCATCAGATTGGTAGGGCCTCTAGATTAGGGGAGGAGGGTAATGCAATTGTTTTTGTGAACGAGGAGGATAGGAAATTGATTCCCGAATTAGTTGATAGTTTAAAATCATCTGGAGCTGTTATTCCTCGAGAACTCAGTAATTCACGGTATAATGTTGTTTCCATGCCATCAGGTAAGCACCCTAAGAAAAGAAAGTACGGTGGCTGAAGTCTTGTGCCTCTTTATTTGTTGACATAATTTTCAGTGCATTTGAAGAAGCCGAAAATGCAAAAGCTTCTGTTCGCAACTGATTGTGTGTATCATTCGTCAAACACCGAATTAAGTAGGTATTTTAGTTTGAAACATTTCATAAAATATATTCTTCAAGTGAATGGTGTTTGATCTCGCATACTATCCTTAAATTCAATTTCAATGATTATATTTTTTGTTGGTAGTTCTTTTATTTTGTTCTATTTCAACGATACAGCTTATGCAATCATATTCATACAGGTAAGGGCCTTGAACATGAATGAAAAAGGTAAGAATTTTATCGCATAAACATATTCGAGGATGATTGTATCCAACATTACATTACAGCCTTGACAAAAGGAGAAATTTTGGAAACCAAAATAATAAATGAGGTGAGCCTGCAAAAATCAACCATCGGTCGCATTATTACGAGCATATATAATAGCATTGAAATCACTTCCAGTTATTGGCAACAATGTCAGCCAAATCGACAACCCTTTGAGAGTAGCCCCACTCGTTGTCGTACCAAGCAATCACCTTAACCATGTCATCTCCCATGACCATGGTGAGTGATGCATCGATGGTGGAGGACACATCAGAGCACCTGAAGTCGACCGAAACAAGGGGTTCCTCACATACTGAAAGAATACCCTTCAGCTCGTTCTCTGCACTCTCTTTGAAAGCAGCATTCACCTCCTCAGCAAAGGTCTTCTTCGAAACCTGGACAACAAGGTCAACCACCGACACATTTGGTGTTGGTACACGCAATGCGATACCGTTGAGTTTGCCTTTGAGAGTAGGGAGTACAAGGGCCACAGCCTTTGCTGCACCAGTTGAAGTTGGGACGATGTTGAGAGCTGCAGCTCGTGCACGCCTAAGGTCACGGTGGCTAGCGTCAAGCAACCTCTGGTCACCGGTGTATGAGTGAGTTGTAGTCATGGTACCCTTGATGATACCTGTCATACATATTACTTAGTATTGCATGTCGGAAAACGTTTGTTCTCATAGTAGGCACATAGTTGAAAGGAATTACCAAACTTTTGGTCCAGAACCTTGACGAAAGGAGCAAGGCAGTTGGTGGTGCAAGAAGCATTGCTGATAATGGGCTCATCTGGGTTGTAGGTATCAGCGTTAACTCCAACAACATATGTAGGAATGTCACCCTTGCCTGGGGCAGTAATCAGCACTTTCTTGGCTCCTGCTTGAATGTGCTTACCTGCACCGTCTCTATCGACGAACACTCCAGTTCCTTCAATCACGATGTCGATTCCCAATTCCCTACAATATCAACATTATCAGCGTGAATGAAAGCGTAAAATAGCTACTTTACACGAAAATACGAACACAGAAACTCTTACCCCCATGGGAGGTTGACAGGGTTACGGTCGGAAACAACCTTGATAACCTTGCCATCGACAGAGATGCCATCGGTGCCAACAGGCTGGACATCAGCATCAAAGATGCCAAGAGTCGAGTCATATTTGAGAAGGTGAGAAGCCTGCTTAACACCACCAGTGTCATTGATGGCAATGACATCAAGGGGAGAGTCCTTACGGCCGTGCCAGCACCTCAAGAAGTTCCTTCCAATCCTACCGAACCCGTTTATCGCCACCTTTAGTTTTGCCTCTGCTACCCCTTTCCTGTATCCGCCATTATTGCTTCCCAACTACATAACACTCAAATAAGAAAATTTAACCAGAGAGGCCTTAATTCATATACAGTTATTTACTCACATGCATCATATATATATATATATATATAAGTTGGAGAAGAGAGAAATGAACTCACAGCGGATGTCTGAAAAGCAATGAGTGAAACGAAATCATCGGTGGATTTCCGGGCAAAGGGAAGGCTACCGGCAGAGTTGTGTAGGCCGGAGAATTCTGAAAAAGCAAGACCCTTTCCTTTTGCCTGAAAGACACAAAGAACTATCGGTTTAGGCAGCATGAAAATGCATCAGTCGAGTAGTAAGAACAATGAAACTGAACCTGAACAAGTGGTTTGGCTACAGACACAGTAGCCGAGGCCATTTGTGGTATTGTGGTGGTGAGTACAGAGGCTTTAGTATGAATAAGTAGAAGAGAGGCAGTGAGGGTAGAATCGGGAATGAGAGGATGATATTTCGGATAGGATAGCGAATGATAGCCTCTTCTTCAATGTTTGGTTGTTTTGAGTGTTTCCATTTGTGTCTCTGCACGATCCATACATATATTTCCCCATCAACACATACCACCCATCCATGATATTATATTATTCCCTCATTAATGGTTTGAGCTTCTCTTGTGGTTAAAAAATCATGCTTTTTTTTCTCAAATAATATTTCTTTTATTTATTAAAAATATATCTAATGAAAATTTTCATTTTTTTTCCCAAAAAGTTCATTTATCATAAGATATGGTTTATGAACGTGTCAACTAAGATATTACATGTGCTTAATTTGTGACAAAACATGGTATATGTAATATAATAAGATCGGGTGATATGTTACTTATCACACTATTAGTTTAAGTGACATAGTATATATCACATCATCACTTTGAATGATGTAATACATATTATACATAAACTAAATACATGTGAAAATTCCTCGTAATGTGATCAATTATTAGTTAATTAATGATTCTCATTTAATAGAGTCTACTTTAATAAAAAAATTAAAATGTTAAGAGCTAAAATGTTTCTTTTAATAAGAGCTAAAATGATTATTGTGTAAATATTGAAGTTGATTTTATTATTATATATTTTTTAATTTTATAAACGGGATTAAATAATTAACAGAATCTTTTTAATGATATTAATAATAAATAAATAAAGCATGTATGTTTGGAGTGATGGAAAATATAGCTTCAGCTTGATGGAGGGAAAACGATAAAACCCATTTGCAGAGCCATCAACTTGAGCATAGAGAAATTGGGCCACTCAAATAGCCTAGATGTCGACTCAAATAGAGACATTTTACATCTGTTCTTATAGCAACGATTAGCGCCATTTTGAGGCAGAGCAACACTTTGAAGTTTGTTGCATCAGCTTCGTCTCATATGCTTCTTCTCTGCATCTATCATCAACCTTCCACTCCATATTTCATCCCATCGGGTCGAGCCGAGCATGCTCCGCTCCTTTTTCCGTACACCAAACTCAAGTTTCTTTTTCAACCCAAACCCAGGCCCAGTGGTGCCCTCTTCTCTTCCGCCGTTGATCGTGATCAAATCTCAGTGACCACTATTACCGCTACACTCCTCCAGAAATGCAGCTCTCTTGCCCAAGCCAAACTCATCCATCAACAGCTACTCGTCCAAGGCCTCTACCGAGATTTCACTACCCGCCTCGTTTGCGCTTACCTCACTCACGACGCCCCTTCTTATTCCATCTCCATTCTCGAACGCTTTCCCTCTTCTACCTCTGTTGTCTTCTGCTGGAACACTCTTATCCGACGCTTCCTTCACCTCGGTTCTACTGTGACGTCCTTTCTCTCTTCCGTAGGATGCTGAGACACCGGTTCGCTCCTGACCATTACACCTTCCCTTTTGTCCTCAAGGCCTGTGGCGTGCTTCCGTCCTTCCGAAGTGGATCAGCTGTTCATGGGGTTATCTCTACCCTAGGGTTGGACTCGAATGTCTTTGTTTGTAATGCTATCGTGGCGATGTACACTCGTTGTGGTGAGTTGGACGACGCGCGACAGGTGTTCGAGGAAATGCGTTATAGAGGGATATGTGATATTATCTCATGGAATTCTATCGTGGCTGCGTATATGCAAAGCAGGGATGCGAAGAGTGCGGTGAAGTTGTTTCGAAGAATGGCTTCTGATCTGGAAATCAGCCCGGATGTTGTTAGCCTTGTCAATGTGCTACCTGTTTGTGGATCTCTGGGCACGTCTTTACATGGTATGTAACTGCATGGTTTTGCAGTGAGGAGAGGTTTATTCGAGGATGTTTTTGTTGGTACTGCTTTGATGGATATGCATGCAAAATTCGGGATGATTGAGCAGGAAAATAAGGTTTTCGAAAGGATGAAAGTGAAGGATGCTGTTTCTTGGAATGCAATGGTTACTGGGTATTCTCAGGCTGGTAGGTTTGAGGAGGCTCTGGGTTTGTTTGAGAAGATGAGAGAAGAGAAAATTAGTTGGATGTTGTGACTTGGAGTTCTGTGATTGCAGGCTATGCTCAAAAGGGTCACGGTTATGAAGCATTGAGTGTATTCAGGGAAATGCAATTTTGTGGTTCCGAACCTAATGTTGTCACCCTTGTGTCCGTTCTTTCAGGCTGTGCTACTATTGCAGCATTAATTCTGGGGAAGGAAATTCACGGTTATGCCATCAAAAGTGTTTTGAACTATGATTGGGATGATCCAGGAGAAGACCTCATGGTGATTAATGGTCTAATTGACATGTACGCGAAGTGCAAAAGTACAAACGTAGCTTGATTCATGTTTGATTTGGTTGTACCAAGTAATAGGAATGTTGTGACTTGGACTGTCATGATTGGTGGATATGCGCAGCATGGAGAAGCTAATGATGCACTGAAGCTTTTCCCTGAAATGCTCCAAGATGGTAAGTCTATGAAGCCAAATACTTTTACCATATGTTGTGCCTTGATGGCTTGTGCACATTTGGCTGCCTTAAGGTTTGGTAAACAGATCCATGCTTACATATTACGCAATCGATACGAATCTGTAATGTTGTTTATGGAAAATTGTCTCCTTGACATGTATTCCAAATCTGGTGACATACATGCTGCTAGAGTTGTGTTTAACAATATGCAGCACAGAAATTCAGTTTCTTGGACATCCTTACTAACTGGTTATGGCATGCATGGCTTTGGGGAAGAAGCTATCAAGGTTTTGGATGATATGAGAGAAGCAGGTTTTGTTCCTGATGGTATTACCTTTCTTGTTTTACTGTATGTCTGCAGCCATTCAGGAATGGTTGATCAGGGAATCAGATTCTTTGAAAGCATGCATAGCGAGTACGATGTTATCTCTGGATTGGAACATTATGCTTGTATGGTTGATCTCTTAGGCCGTGCTGGTCGGTTTGATCAAGCTCTGAAACTTATTAAAGACATGCCCATGGAGCCAACTGCAATTGTATGGATTGCATTACTTAGTGGTTGTAGGATCCACGGAAATGTGGAATTTGGGGAATATGCTGCAGCCAAGCTTCGGGAACTTGGTTCAGAGAACGATGGGTCATATACATTGCTTTCAAACATATATGCTAATGCTAGGTGTTGGAGAGATGTTGCCAGGGTCTGATCTTTGATGAAATATTCAGGGGTTAAAAAGAGACCGGGTTGCAACTGGGTTCAAGGAAAGAAAGGCACTGCTACCTTCTATGTAGGTGACAGGTCTCATCCACAATTTGAACAAATATATGAGCTTCTTGTGGACTTAATTCAACGCATTAAGGAAATTGAGTATGTTCCTGAGACGAACTGTGCACTTCATGATGTGGACGAAGAAGAGAAAGGTGATCTTCTTACTGAACATAGTGAGAAGTTAGCTCTAGCTTATGGCATTTTAGTCTCTACTCCTGGGGCGCCTATCCATGTCACCAAGAACTTGCGTGTCTGTGGTGATTGCCATAATGCCATTACTTACATATCCATGAACATTGATAATGAAATCATATTAAGGGACTCAATTCGCTTCCATCATTTCAAGAATGGAGCCTGCTCATGCAGAGGCTACTGATGATACAAAATTACTGACGGCGAAGCAAGTTACAAAATTTTGGCACTTGAAGAGGTACATCAGATAGGATGGTCGCACAATGATGGAGTAAATCTGCTCCTGGTATTGACTGCAAAGGGTAGCCTAATATGTTTAGATTCAACTAACATAACATTAACACATACAAGGCTTCTGATGTTGAACTTGTTCTCAAATAACTTTGAAGAAGAAATACGTGGAAAAGATGTTTCTATAGCAACACAAACTTGACTGACTAAGACGTACGATTCGTTTTGTATAGAGAAATACAGGACGGAACAATCTCTGATTCTTTCTATATAGAAAAGAATGATATTAGGAACAATTCCTTTTCAGTAAGCTCCTAGCTATGTGTAGAAATCAGAGTAATTCTCTGTAATTTCTTATTCTTTTTAATAGGACAAATTACATATTTATATACAAATCATCTCTAAAGTAGGAAACTCTAAGAAAGGAAAAATACTAATCCTAGGAGATATGATACCTTAAAATAAGGGATTGTAGAATATTTATAGAATCCCTTAATTAAAGGATATTTACATAATCATATATTTCTATAATTCCAACACTCCCCCTCAAGCTGGAGAATATACATTATATAATCCCAGCTTGAATAGGAATTTATTGAAAACATGCTTTGACAAAGCCTTAGTAAGAATGTCTGCAACTTGTTCTTCTGAAGGAATGTATGAAAGTGTGGTTGTCTTTTTGTTAACTTGATCAACAATAAAATGCCAATCAATCTCAACATGTTTTGTCCGATCATGTTGAACTGGGTTCTTGGCAATTTGAATAGCATATTGATTATCACACAAAACTTCAAAGTGATCCTCTTGATTAGTGACAAGTTCTTTCAGTAGTTTAAGTAGCCAAATTCCTTCGCATATTCCCAATGCTAGTGCTCTGAATTCAGCTTCAACACTACTTCTTGAAACGACAGATTGTTTCTTACTTCTCCAAGTTGTAAGGTTTCCCCAAACAAAGGTGCAGTAGCCACTAGTGGATCTCCTTTCAGTAAGGTCTCCGACCCAACTAGAATCTGTAAAGATCTTAACAGTTCTGTCTTGTGTTTTCTTAAACATTAAACCGTGTCCTGGAGTTTTCTTTAAGTACTTGAGAATTCTATTTGCTGCTACCATATGCTCTTCAGTAAGATTAGTCATGTGTTGACTTATCACATTTACAGGAAATGCTATATCTGGCCTTGTCAAGGATAAATAAATTAGTTTCCCAACTAATCTTTGAATTTTCTCCTTGTCTACCAAGAACCCATATTCTTTGTTAAATTTCAAGCTTTCCTCCATTGGTGTATCATTCGGCTTACAACCAAGAAAACCAATTTCTTTGAGTAAATCAAGTATATATTTTCTTTGGTTGATCACAAGTCCTTCTTTTGACCTTGCCACCTCAATTCCTAGGAAATACCTTAGCTTTCCCAAGTCCTTGGTTTCGAATTCCTTATTTAACAACTTCTTCAAATTACAAATCTCTTCTTCATCATCTCCTGTAAGAATTATGTCGTCCACGTACACAATAAGGATAGCTTTCTTATTTGTAGACGTTACCTTGATGAAAAGAGTATGATCGGCAAGGGATTGCTTGTAGCCGTTTTTTAGGATGACTTTAGTGAACCTCTCGAACCAAGCTCTGGGTGATTGTTTTAACCCGTATAGAGACTTGTTGAGCTTGCACACCTTGTTACTTCCTTCAACAGACTTTAAGCCAGGTGGCAACTTCATATAGACTTCTTCTTCTAGCTTGCTATTAAGAAAAGCGTTTTTTTACAGCAAGTTGGTGTAATTTCCAATCGCAATTTACAGCCAAACTTAGGAGTACTCGAACAGTATTTAGCTTCGCCACATGTGCAAAAGTTTCTGTGAAATCTATCCCATATGTTTGTGTAAAGCCTCTGGTCACTAGTCTCGCTTTGTATCGTTGGATGCTACCATTTGAGTTATACTTTACAGTAAAGATCCATTTACAGCCAACAACTTTTTTCCTTGAGGAAGGTCCGTAACAGTCCAAGTAGCATTTTTCTCCAGTGCACAAATTTCCTCTTCAACAACTCGTCTCCATTTTGAATCCTTTAGAGCTTCAGCTATGCTTGTGGGAACCTGTTCTTTATCCAAGTTTGCTGTAAATGCTTGAAAAGACGTCATCAATGAATTATAACCATCAAATTTTTCAATAGGATGCTTGGTGCACTGTCTAACCCCTTTTCTAATAGCAATAGGGAAGTCATCTAGAGTAGGGGAAGTTGACTTACTGATTTCTTCTTCTATTTCGGCAGCTGAACCCAAATCCAATTCTCGACAAGCATCAGATTGCAAAACAACTTCAGGAATATGTTTTCTTTTCCTTGTATAGAAACGGAGTTGTTTGATTGGTGTTGTTTGTGGAATATTTTGAATGAAAGTAGGTGTATTTTCAGGAAGGGTATTTAAAGTGTGTATGGGTGAAGTAGTGATAGGTACTACCGGTGGATCAATGGGAGTAGTTACAGGTGACAAATTTGTAGGTAAGGACAAAATTGGTGGCAATTCTGAAGGTTGAGAATGAAGAGTAGGAGGAGATACCTGATGTGGCTGAAAATCCTTCCATGTCTCCCCCTGAATTTCAGCCTGAGTGGAATAGGGATCTTGCTCATAAAATGTTATATCCATAGTGGTAAAAAATCGTTTTGAATGAGGATAATAGCATTTATAACCCTTCTTAAGTGAAGAATACCCAACCAGTACACACTTTAATGATTTAGGATCTAACTTGGACTTATTAGGAGCAATGTTTTGGATAAAAACAGTACAACCAAATATTTTAAGTGGAAGAATGGAGGAGATAGGTTTAAAATGGGGAAAATATTGCAAAAATATAGATTGAGGTGTTTGAAATTGTAAAACCTTACTAGACATTCGATTGATTAAATATGTGGCAGTTAATAAGGCTTCCCTCCACAAATATTTTGGAACATTAGTGGTAAATAGAAGAGAACGAGTAACTTCAAGGAGGTGTCTATTTTTTCTTTCGGCAGTACCGTTTTGTTGTGGGGTGTCAACACAAGAACTAATCTGAACTATGCCCTTTTCCCTAAAAAACGCACTCAAAGACTTAGCAAAAAATTCACTGCCATTATCATATTTAAAGAACTGAATTTTAGACCCAAATTGAGTGAGAACCATGTTATAAAATTGGGTAAAAATACCAGCAGTTTCAGATTTATCTTTTAGCAAATAAGTCCAAGTTATCCTACTGTGATCATCAATGCAAGTGATAAACCACTTACAATTATTAGCATTCTTCACCCGAGAAGGACCCCAAATATCACTGTGAATCAAAGCAAAAGGGTGAGAAGGCTTATATGTAGAAGGAGAATAAGTTGATTTAGTATGTTTGGCAAGAGAGCAAACTTTGCAAGAAAAAGAATTTGGCCTTTTATGAATGAATAGAGCAGGAAAAACTTTTGCAAGATAGTGAAAACTAGGATGACCTAAATGATAGTGCCATAACATAACATTATCAACTTTTTCTAAAGCGGTGAAAGATTTCGAGATTTCGGTTTTAGTAGAGGCAGGAAGAATGTAGAGACCATTCTGCAAGCTGGCCTTACCAATCATCTTCTTCGAGTTCAATGCCTGCAAAGTACAATCAACATCATTAAAAATTGCAGAGCAGTGCAAGTCGATGGAAAGTTTACTAACGGAAACGAGATTGCAAGCCAGATTTGGTACGAAGAGGACATTTTTAAGTACAATCTGGTCATTGAGAATAACAGTGCCATGTCCTTCTATTTTGCACAAAGAACCATCAGCCGTTTTGACAGCTTTACCAAAGTTTGGAAAAAAATTGCAAAACAAATCCTTATTACCAGTCATATGATCCGTAGCACTAGAATCGAGGATCCAATTAGGGGACGACTGGGAGGAGAAAAAAACTGTAGCATGAGGTCTACCTTCTGGTTCTTTCATGACCAGATTATCTTCTGATTGAGCAGCAAAACCAGAAAATTTTTATGGATTTGAAGTGATCTCCGGAGTAAGAGAAGAAGTTGTGGACATCATCTAGGTTGGAAAGAAACCGTAACCTAAGCTGATACCATGTAGAAATCAGAGTAATTCTCTGTAATTTCTTATTCTTTTCAATAGGACATATTACATATTTATATACAAATCATCTCTCTAAAGTAAGAAACTCTAAGAAATGAAAAATACTAATCCTAAGAGATATGATCCCTTAAAATAAGAGATTGTAGAATATTTACAGAATCCCTTAATTAAAGGATATTTACATAATCATATATTTCTATAATTCCTACACTATGTTATGTATGCTTCCATTCTCCATGTTTGAGGCTAGCTTAACAAATTCAATTGATAATGTATCATACTCTTGTAGATGCGGATTTGGATGATTGCAGTTATTAGATTTTTTAATAGAATCAGATATTACAGATTTAGCTAATATTTAGATTCATATACTGTTATTTTCTGCTATGGACTCGGAACGGGTGTGGTTATTAACTTTTCAAATGTCTATCATCCTAATCTGTTTTACTTTTTTGGAAGACAGGTTTACATGAGAGTAAAGCTTCTCTCACTTTAGAGACCAGCATTAATTCATTGTAATGCATGTGAAAAAGTACAACAATCTTGCAGGTACAAAAGATTTTGAAGAGAAAAAACCGAACCGTGTAACGAAAATCTTGCCATATTTCCGGCCAAGGATTGTCTGAGTTAGCTATACAACAATCTCTGATGTTGGACTATTCAAAACATTATTCCATTACCATGCCTTAAACCTACTACAAAACAGTATCATAATAGGATGGTTGCCTGGTTTCAGAACCCTTGTCTTATGGCGTTACAAGAAACCCCCCCAGTTCCACCAGTTTCCCTCCTCAAATCGTGTAGTGTTGTTGGATGGTGTTGATATCCAGTCCTTTGAGCTTAACTACGGATTCGACATGTCCTTTGAGCGTATGAAGTTCCCTCAATCTGATAAGACACACGAGGCTTTAGATAAGATCATTGGTTTCAGATGACAAAGGATTTTATTTATGTATCACCTTGCAACTTCAGCACGCTTCCTGGCTTGTTCCGCAATCTCTGATAGTTCTTTGTGGTCGCTCTCCTTGTTTGTGAGGTCCAGCGGTGTCAAGCCATGAAGGGTGCGTTGAGCTAAAGCCCACTGTGCTTCCCTCTCTCATTTTCCACAATCATTCTTTGTTGTGAAGGCAGTCTATGAATTGAACGTACGAACAACATCAATGTCATTTGATGGTATTGTGTTTATCGTGATTACTTACATAACAAGTTAATACCGAAAGAAGTGATTAGATACCTTATTTTCAAGTAAATTGTTCCAAGCCTTTCAGATCGAAGAGTAGCGAATTCTGAACTTGAGTACATCAAGTGGGAAGTAAAAGACTAGATTGTTGAGCCAGATAACGCCAGCCCAACCCCGGCCAATGCCTTTGATTCTTGCAAATCCCCAGTTTGCGTAAACAGCAAGCAGTGTAGCTACCTATAATGTTGAATCCAAAACAGAAAACTTTATAACAACTCAAGAACACTACATTATATTCTAGCCAACTGAAGCTGTTTTTTTTTTATATTTTAACTTACGAGTTGTGCCAAAATAAAGGCAACCACGAGCAGGAGACCGGGACGTTCAATGAAAGACCAACTCCGAGAACAAGTGACAAAAATGAGTGCCTGACTCACTGTGCTGACTTGAAGGTATACAACAGCAGTAAGTTCATCTTGATTGTGCCTAATGGATCTTACTCCAAACTTATCCTGCAATTAATACCATCTTTTAGAAGTCTCCTGTTGTGGTTTTAAGAACATAAAGAGTGTTAAATTTTTTTCTTACCGAAAAGAAGTTGGTGTTGTTAGCCACCCAGAAGAAAATGACGGTCATGACAGCAAGATAGGTACCAAGGACGATGCCGGTGGCAAAAATCTCCTTGAGCTTCCATGAGTCAGACATGGGAGATGGCTTCACTCTGTCCTTGGAAATGGTCATAATGGTTCCGTCATTGAGTATGGCGATGATCAAAACCATGAAAGGCGAGAAATTGAACTTCCAAATAAGTGCGAGCAGCATGAAACCCAACACGATTCTGATTGTAATGGAGACAGCGTAGGTGGTATAGTTTTTCATTCTCTGAAAAATGGCTCTACTTGTTATAACAACACTCACAATGACACTCAGTCCCGGTTCTGTTAGTACTATATCTGATGCACTTCGAGCAGTATCGGTTGCATCATCCACTGCAATGCCGATGTCTGCCTTCTTAAGTGCCGGTGCATCATTCACACCATCTCCTGTCATGCCACAAATATGTTTCCTTGCTTGTAGCCTCCTAACAATTGTACTCTAAATTAGGAAAATACTGACTGTTATTCAAAGAGTGTCAAACTATACCGAAATAATATTGCTATTGAGCTTACCAGGGAAAACGCCTTCAAAGCCATCAGCCTTCTCAATAAGGTCATCGGCGCCAATTGTATAGATTGTGTCGCCCTTATTTTGACCAAGGAGAGCAGATGATGGATACATGTTTGTTCCCATGCCGAGCCTGCGACCGTTTTCTTTTCCGATGGCTAGTTGATCACCAGCGATCATCTTGACATTGACACCGAGATTCAGATTCAGAGCCCGACGAAATGTCTCTGCACTATCATGCCTCGGAGGATCAAACACTGGCAATATACCCACAAATTCCCAAGGTTCTCCCAGGGCATCCTTGCTTTTCTCTTTAACAGTCTACAATATCAAAATATTCATCTTATAATAACCTTTCGTTTATACAAATTATGTTCCGGAGAAAGAAACACAAAACATTACTTGTCTAGCAACAGCAAGAGATCGAAGCCCTTGGTCAGCAAATGTAGAGATGATTTCATGAGCTTTCTTCCTTGCACCACCTCGCAGATTGCATAGATCGATAATCTAGTCAAGATGTCAAGTATTAACACCAAGTTACAATCGTGACCGTAATTTAAAATCCCTGATATGATAAGAAAAGCATTGGTACAATGCAAGTCAATCCGTTTACCTGCTCTGGAGCACCTTTGCTGGCTTGATGCCAACTACCATCAGGCTGAATATATGTCATGGCTGTACGCTTGTCTACCGGGTTAAAGGGAAAGAAATGTACCTCAGTAGCACCTGCTCTAGCCTGCAAATCAATGAAAGTGATCATTCTCCGACATTAAAGACTGAAGAGTGAAAGCATAATGAAAGGGGTTCTTTTTTGTCAATCTTCACTAACCTCCTTGTGGTCACCTAGCATTCCAACAATACATGTATCGACAGCATCTTGATTCTCGACCCTCGAAGCCCTTGCGGCGAGTAGAAGAACCATGTCCTTGTTGACATTTCTCGCAAACACCTGAAATGTCACAGGACGGTTCCGGGATGAGATTAAATGCATCATTGATCCATAATTAGTTTCAACTTCAATTCTAGGACCAACCTCAATTAAGGACTTGTCTACGGTAAGCTTTTTGAGAGTTAGTGTCCCAGTTTTATCATTGCAGAGTACATCCATTCCAGCCATTTCTTCAATAGCCGTCATTCTCTTTGTGATAGCTCCTTGTTGCGAAAGCCGGTGATATCCAATGGCCATAGTCACAGATAAAACTGTCGGCATGGCAATCGGAATCCCCCCAATGAGAATCACCAAGAGATTATCGGTCCCATCTCTGTACTTGCGGTGTTGTATCGGATACATCACCACTATCTCAATAAGCATCCCTACCGCGATCGAACATATACAGAAGTTTCCAATTGCTGTCAACACCTAAAGAAATAATCACCATTCGGTCCACATCAGGTATAATCTATGTTACTCATACTCGGGTGTTCGTACGAGAAACGAATATATGTCGGACACGAGTATTTTAAAGTTTTTTTCCATGTATATAATTGGAATGTCCCTTTGAGGGTCATATCTCAATACTCATATCCACACATGCTATCAGACAAGAGTACAGAAGTATAGTAATTACCTGCTGGAAGTGCCCTACGTTGTTGGTGCTGTCAACGAGATGAGTTGCTTTTCCAAATAAGGTGTGCACGCCGGTCGCGATAACAACAACCTCAATCTCACCTTGCTTGACAGTAGAACCGGAGAATACCTCGTTCCCTGCATTCTTGTTTACAGGCAAAGACTCGCCGTTAAGGGGAGATCGATCGATCTTGAGTGAATCACCTTCAAGGAGACGTGCATCTGCAGGGACAATATCTCCCAACTTAATGCTGATGATGTCTCCAGGTACCAAGATTGAAGCTTCTTGCTCGCTCCACTTCCCATCCCTTAGGACCTTCAATCATTCAAACATGCCACAAAGGGTTAGAGATATCGATCACCGTCATTAACAAACATCCGAAACAAGTCATAAACACCTTGGTCTTAGGGGCAAGACCAGCCATAAGAGCTGCAGCAGCATTGCCGACATTGTTCTCTCCGATGAAGCTAATCGTGGCCTCATGGAGTTGATAAACAGCAACTCCACGATACCGATGAAGTCTTGCCAATCCGGGGGCTTGCCGTGAATTCGATTCATGGAATTAGAGATTCCACAAGTCTATTAATTGAAGAACAGGAGAGAAAAAGAAAAAAGAGAGATGAATATATATACTCCTCCATTAGCCAAAGCAATGGCCATAATTGCTGCAATCTCCATCACCCATGACAGGGATTCCACATAAATCCCAAGAACTTCAAAAGCTTGCTTTCCTGCTTCCCTTCAAGCTTGTTCGGACCAAAGATATGAAGCCTCTTTTCGCCTTCCTCGCTCGATAGACCATCCCTGCTGCATTTCAACTTTTGAAACATTTCTTCAACAGGAATCCGCTCCTGCAATGCAACACGCATATCAAATACATACATACATACATACATACATACATACATACATACATACATACATACATACATACATACATACATACATACATACATACATACATACATACATACATACATACATACACGCATACATACATACACGCATACATACATACACACATACATACACACATACACACATACATACACACATACACACATACATACACACATACATACACACATACACACATACATACACACATACACACATACATACATACATACATACATACATACATACATACATACATGCGTATGTATTTATCGTCAACAAATTAAAAAAATTAAATAAATTTTATCAATGATGTAGAACATAGTGTATGAATGTCAATTGATAGTGTCTCTAATGTTGTACATCAACAACTTTAATACAGTTATTATCCAAAAACCAATATCAATTAATCTACCTGGTGTGTGAATAGGGTCATAATTATATGAGTAAAACTATGTATTTAGTAGCTAAACTAATAGTTTTTGTTCGTTTTAGTATCTAAAATTTTAATTTGTTTTAAATCTTACCTAACGTTTAACTTTCATATCATTTTAGTACCCGTTGTTAAAAATTTAATGCGTTTAGTACCTAAACTATCAGTTTTGGTCCGTTTTAGTACCTAAACTTTCTATTTTTTCAAAACTTAACGTTAAATTTTGAACGGAGTATTAAAATAAAACAAAAACTAAAGATTTTAAAGGAGGGATAATAAAATAAAATAAAAACTAAACTTTAGGTATGATTTTAAAAATAATTAAAAGTTTAAGTATTAAAATATATCAAAATTTATAGTTTAGATACTAAACACATAATTTACCCTAATTATATATGGTAGGGGATGCATCACTCATATTTACTCTTAATTTTGTCTCTATGTATGAAAATGTGAGTTCCAGTCTATAAAAAGGTATCTATAAATGATAAAATCTTAAAATATTTGTAAATATATAAAGAATACCATTTTAATTTATATTCTACGATATGATTTAATCATTATTTATAGATGTGTTGAAAGGTCTAATATTTAAAAATACTGGTATATTTTAAAAATAAAATAAGAGAAAAAAAGAAAAAACTACTTTTAAGTAAAAGCAACGAAAGAAAAAATCTTTAAAATTATAATATTAGTTTACAATTATAATAATAAATTAAACACAAAATTAATATCATAAGTAATTAGTAACTTAAGATAATATAAAGATAATACAAGGAAAATATAAAAAAAATCGGCAAAAAACTCACATAAAAAATATATACGAAAAAATTTGATTGCATCGGTAAATGAACCATAATAATGAATCAAACTATTTAAAGATTACCGATAAACATAAGTCAAATTTAAACATCATAAAAAAACTATTTACGAACGCAGATCGAATATTCATATGAATGTTCAATTTAATGGTTCAAAATAGGAAAAATTAATAAGATAAAAAATAATATCATTTTGATCCAATTTTAGAAAAATAAACAAAAAGAATAATCAAACCACAAATAAAGAGAGAAAATTTATCGACCCGGTCCAACATAAAGACTCATGGACCAAACCCTGTCATTGTCACTTTGGTTTGCTATGGAATCAGAATTCGGAAACCCGAAACCCTGAGCCCCCATTGCTTCACTCTCTAAATTCTTAAAACACCAGAACACTTCCTTTCCCTCCCATTATTCTCTCTCTTCGATCTCCTTCTACTTCTCATTCTCTTCATTTGCTTCACTACCTTCTCCTTCAGGAGATTGAACTCCCAAGGATTTATTACTGCTGCTGAACCCAAAACCCCTCAATAAACCCTCACTCTGCAGTTATGGCTTCCGCTTCAGGTAATTTCCCTCTCCTTTTCTTTTCTTTTCTTTTCACAATGTATCTGGGTTTTGAATTTGGGATTAGTCCAAATCGAATTCCTGCACTTTAGATGAAAATACTTTGTTTTCGTTTGGTTTCTAGAGTTCAAGGTTTTTTTTCTTTCTATTTTTTTGGTGTTATTGAGTTTTCAATGAGCTATTTAGTTTCTAGGTCTTGTCTGTTTGATACCCAGTTTTTGTTGGTTTAAAGGTTTTATGTAGGAATTAATCATAGATCTGCGAAGTTTGATGATTTTGATTTTTTTTTTGGAAGAAATTGGAGAGCTGAAAATGCGTGTTATCAGTGTGTGCTTATGCTTGTGTTTGTTCTACGTGGATTAGTAATTTTAGAATGGTTTTATTGCATTTGTTTGCTTCTTTTTTTTTGTTGATAACTTTTAGCTAATTAGAGTTGCAAGTTAATTTATGTGAATTTACTCTATATCTGAGTTGTATCTGCAGGGACTTTGTGTGAAGCTCGTGGTACTGTAAGTGAAAATTGTAGGAGTGGGAGAGATCTCAACACAGAAAATTGTGATTTACAGGTTACATCACTATACAAGAAGAGAAGGATATCTTCAGTTTCTGATTTTTTTCCATATGTTCTGAGAAGGATAGAAGAATTTTTACCTAGTTTACATTCCCCTGATTATTATATGGAACCTTGCTTGAAAGATATGGTGAGAATGGAACTCTTCTATCCTGGTTATTGCAGCCGAGTTCCGGATTTTGTGGTTGGAAGATTTGGATATGGGTGTGTAAAATTCTTTGGGAAAACTGATGTAAGAGGGTTGGATTTAGATCAAATTGTGAAATTCCATAGGCATGAGGTGATTGTATATGAAGATGAAAGCAACAAGCCCATGGTTGGTCAAGGGATTAACAAGACTGCTGAGGTAACTTTGAGACTTCAAATTAAAAATTTAGACTTGGGTAAGCAGGAAGTAGATGGTATTGTTAAGAAATTAAGACAGAGCATGAAGAGTCAAGGGGCACAATTCGTTGCATTTGACACGACAAATGGTGAATGGAAATTCTTGGTTGACCATTTCAGTAGATTTGGGTTGAGTGAAGATGACGAGGAAGATATTATTATGGATGATGCAACAGGAGCTGTGCAAGATCCTGGGATAATTGGTGATGGTGGGAATCCTGAGATTGATGAAGATATGCAATTGGATAGTAATGGATCATTGCTTTCTCATTCTCTTCCTGCACATCTCGGGCTGGACCCTGTGAAGATGAAAGAAATGAGAATGTTGATGTTTCCTTCCGAGGAAGAAGAGGAGCTTGAGGATTTTAGAAGGACAGGTTCTAATCGGAAACAAGGATTTGCGAAAGAATATATAAAGTCCTCTTTGAATAACTCTAACCCGAGGACGGCCAATAAGTCTAGCCCACCTGTTGTGCGGAAAACCCCTGTTGCTTTACTTGAGTATAATTCTGGTGCTTTTGATTCAAGCTCATCTAGAACTGTTCTGATGACACAAGAAAATAAGGGTTTGCCACTAAAGACCGCTAAAAGGGAAGGTTTCAAGCTGGACATCAAACAAGAGACACCGGTCACTGGAAGCCATTCTCACAATATAGTTGATGCAGCATTGTTCATGGGTAGATCATTTCGTGTAGGTTGGGGCCCAGGTGGCATTCTTGTTCACTCTGGTGCACCTGTAGGTAGTAATGATGCCCAGAGAGTATTATCTTCTGTAATCAATGTAGAAAGAGTGGCAATTGATAAAGTCGTTAGAGATGAAAATAGTAAAGTAAAGAAAGAACTTGTTGACTTTGCTTTTGATGCTCCATTGAATCTTCACAAAGCTATAAATTATGAAGAAAAAGCAGTGGAAGTTGGATCCTTTCAATTGAAACTTCTGAAGGTTGTTTCTAATCGCTTAGAGCTTTCTGACATTTGTAGGAGCTATATAGACATTATTGAGAGGCAGTTGGATGTTCCTGGTTTATCTTCTTCTGCTCGGTTGGTTTTGATGCATCAAGTGATGGTCTGGGAACTGATAAAAGTTCTTTTTTCAGAAAGGGAAAATACTGGTCAACTGAAATCCATGGCTGCTGATATTGAAGAAGATATGATGCAGGATATCAAGGAAGGTCCTCCAGAAGTTGACTTGGAAGCACTTTCTCTTATTAGAAGGGCTCAGTTTAGTTGTTGGCTGCAAGAAAGCGTATGTCATCGTGTACAAGAAGAAGTAAGATCAGTGAATGATTCAGGTTACTTGGAACACTTATTCTTTCTCTTGACTGGGCGACAACTTGATGCAGCTGTGGAGCTGGCAGCTTCTAAAGGAGATGTTAGACTGGCTTGTTTACTGAGCCAGGCTGGCGGATCAACAGTTAATCGATCTGATGTTGCAAGACAGCTTGATATGTGGAGACGTAATGGTCTGGACTTCAAATTCATTGAGAAGGAAAGGATTCGGCTTTATGAGTTGCTTGCTGGTAATATTCATGGTGCTTTGCGTGGTATTAACATTGACTGGAAGAGATTCTTAGGATTGTTAATGTGGTTTCACCTACCTTCAGATACTGCATTGCCTGTTGTTTTTCGAACTTATCAGCACCTTCTTGATGATGGAAAAGCTCCATTTCCCGTTCCAATTTATATTGATGAAGGATCAGTTGAAGAGAAAGCAAATTTGAGCAGAGTGGAAAGATTTGATCTTTCATACTATCTGATGCTTCTGCATGCCAGTGAAGAGAGTCAATTATGCTCTCTGAAAACAATGTTTAGCACCTTCTCTTCAACACATGATCCACTTGACTATCATATGATATGGCATCAGCGGGCTATCTTGGAAGCTGTTGGTGCTTTCAATTCTAATGATCTTCAAGCTCTTGACATGGGACTTATATCCCAGTTACTATGTCAGGAGCAGTGTCATTGGGCTATCTATGTAGCCCTTCACATGCCCTACCGTGATGATTATCCTTACCTTCAAGCAATTCTTATCAGGGAAATTTTGTTCCAATATTGTGAATCATGGAGTTCACAAGAATCACAGCGACAATTTATCGAGGATTTGGGAATTCCATTGCAATGGCTGCATGAATCTATGGTGTGTTATTGGTTTTCTTAGATGATTTGTTCTAACTTTGTTCATCTCAAGCCTTTGTATTTTACTTCTTGTCGGTCTAGCCTGGGTGGTATTCTATGCTAACATTTGGAGCTTTGCTGGTAGATTAGGTGCTCTATTCGGGTTAGATCCATCATTAATTTAGATTCATTGCATAGTGGCAGAGTGGCAGCATCCTGATTGGATGTGATCTTTGAATCTCATCCTTTCTTTTCTTTCTTCTTACTTCTTCCTTTTTGAAGATGAACACCTTTTAGAATTACTAGTCATCTCAATTGTCCTGCTCTATGCTTTTATCTGTATCTGTGTCCTTGTGTGGATGCATGATGAGAGAGAGGAGGAGGAGGTTATTTAGAGCTCAGAAATGTTGAGTGCATTCTTTAAATATCATTTTTTCTTTTATTAACTCCTTTTAAATAACTAGCAATTTGGTTTTTTTTCCTGCTGCATGCTCGTCTATGCATCTGGGTCTAGATGTGGATGTATGATATGAGAGAGAGAGGGATCGAGCTTTGAAAGGTTCTTTGGAACTCGAGTGTTGTTTTCCAACTTGGAAAATTTTCCTTGTATGATGCAGGCTGTTTATTTCAATTACCATGGGGATTTGCCAAGGGCTCTTGAGCACTTTCTGGAATGTGAAAATTGGCAAAAGGCTCATTCTATTTTCATGACTTCAGTTGCTCATGCATTGTTCTTGTCTGGTATGATCTTATTGCAAATTAAGTAATCCATATATGCCTTGTGAGTTATGTTATCCTGTTATGTTTTTCTTTTCTACTGCCTTATGGATGTGACTTGAAATCAAAATCAAGTCTCCCCTTTCCTTTTCCCCAGTAAAAAACATTAAAAAGAAAAGCATGATTATTTGGTTTAGACCTCAAAGGAATTTTATGTATATTATGGATATGTTGAAACACAATATTTCATAGCAAGAAGGAATCACCTAGGAATCTTTCTCTCTCTATATATACAGACTATATTTACCTCTTTCCCGCCTCTAAAAGTTTCCATTTAGTGTCGTAAAATGTTTACTAAAAGAAAGTTTAGATAGTAAAATGATGTTTGAGGGGGAAAATAGCTTATTCTTGAAAAACATGAGAATTCTGATTAAGTTATACAATCAAGGGGGTTTAGTAATTCATTCTATGAATTTTCTGTTCATATTAATATATTATAGCACAGAATCCCATGTCCATGCATGGATGTGTCTTATCACGTGGGAGGCGAGTGACTCGCTATACTCTTACTATTTTGAGAGTTACTCAGAGTCATGTATATTATACATGCTAATTACTACCAACTCTTAGTGCCAATTTTAGTCGTTTGTTTCTAAAACCTTTGCTGGATTGAAGAATTTAATGCACAATTTGGGTCACTGAAGAATTGATGAGTCAAATATTTATTGATATAGTTTATCCACATCTTATGTTTTTTTGTTCGATGCAGCCAATGACCCAGAGGTATGGAGGATTGCAACATCCATGGAGAACCACAAGTCAGAAATCGAAAATTGGGATTTGGGAGCTGGAATTTATATTTCATTCTATGTGCTAAGAAGTTCATTACAGGAGGATAACAATACTATGGCTGAATTGGTAAGAAACTCATGCAATTTATTATGGCCATAGAATCTGGATCTGAATATAAACTATATAGCTTGTTGGATGCTTCATATATTAGTCAACACCGCTTCCCGGTCATGGGGTTGTGCTGAATGTTATCCTTAGCTTGAATCATGTTTTTCTTACTAAACTTTGGGTTCATCTTAATGGGTTGGCCACTTCAAGCAAAGTGTAGCATGTCTAATATGCATGACCCTGTCGTCCAATTTATCCCTTAATAAAAAGAATGGATCTGCCAAGTTAAAGCCTTGTTCCCAGAGGCATTACCTTCATTTGCGTGAATGGAATGGTGGTGGTACTACTGCATGGTGTGTTTCGGGGAGATGAATTGTGATTAATGGCTGCAGCTCATTTAACTCTTTTACCTTTAATTCTTTTGGAAGGATTTGATTGAAAGTTGCATACGAGATATTAATTCTGTCAATATAAATGATGGCGGAAAAGTTTAAAGCTTAGGCAAGAAAATATTGGTAATAATTTTGTCTGTGATTAAATCATGAGTTACTATTTTTCAGCATTTGGAACTGGCGGGGATATAATATTGCCATTTTCTTGTGAATGTTTCTCTTACATTTTTTTGTTTTTTCTCCTGCATCTTCCTATTAGATTTGTAATAGATTAAGCAATTGCACCCTTGGGTTGTTGAACCAAATTTGTGAGATATCAGCACACTTGATTTTTGTATTTCCTTTTACAAGTGAATGTTGGTGAATTTTTCAGGATTCCCTCGACAGCAGAAATGCAGCTTGTAGGGACTTTCTTGGCCGTTTGAATGAGTCTTCAGCAGTTTGGGGTGGCAAGTTACATGTTGATGCGAGGTATTTATGTTGGTATCTCTCCTTATGAGTGTTAATATATCAAATGACTAGCTTAGTTAAAATTCCAATTCCCCGTTGAATCAACTGCTTAGTTGTGCCATTGATCGTTGTTCTATGTGCCTGCTTATATCAAATGACTAGCTTGGTTTCTGTCACCTTGGAGTTATTCATTTTTAATGTTGAAATCCCAATTCCCTTTTCTTCTCTGTTTTTTTTTCAAAATCTAAATTTCCCTTGATTTTATTACAAACCTTAAATCAGTTAATAGCCCCCCCCCCTTTTACGTGCCTATTAATGTCATGTTCCAGATAATCATCTTTTGTATCATCATGGAACAGTTCTGTATCCTTATTTTTTATGGTTTACTATATCGATACATTTTATACATTTTATACTCGGGTCTTCGTCTGTAGTGATTGGATGCATGTTTCTGTGAAACTATGGTGTAGGGTGGTTTATTCAAAGATGGCGGAAGAGATATGCAATTTGCTGCTTTCTGATACTAGTGGAAGTCAAACACGTGATGACCAATTAAGCTGCTATGACACCGTCTTCAGCGCTCCCATCCCGGAAGACCTTCGTTCAACTCATTTACAGGATGCTGTTGCAGTTTTCACTTGCAGTCTTTCAGAAGTGTTGAGTTAGTTTGTGTAACTAACCCCGTTCCTATTGTTGCTTGGATGGTGATTTTGGGTTGGTGTTAGGTTAGTTTGGGTTGGGTTGGGTTGGGAGCTTGATGTTGTAAACTCTAACCTTAATTTCGTACCAAACTCCAAAATTCATAATTGTCAAGTTAATAGATATAATTACACAACCAAACAGTTCACATTATATAGATTTTGACACATTTCTACATTACACTTTGTTCATATTACTTATCGTTGATGTAAATAGATAGAAGTGGAAACTTGGTGTAAAGGCCGAGCTCGAACTCGAGCTTCCTATTGCTTCGGTGAATCAACTGTAAGCATCGAAAGATGATTGCAACAGGAATCATGTGCTTTTGGAACAGAAAACCAGCCTAAATTGATATGCATTTCATATAAGCTTTCCATATGTCTCTCTTATTCAACAGAACCAGACATTTTGATCAAGAAAAGAAAAATTCATCAGAACCAGACATGATACCAGAAACATAAAAAAGAACCAGATTCAGAAACAACACTGCAATACCAAATTCAGACAATAATCTTTATGTTTTTCAACTTAGAAACGAACAATAGTGGGCTTGTAGTCAAATACAATGACCTTGTCCAAGGTGGGCAGGAACAAGTTTGCAAATTCCACATGAGCAGGGTGAGCTATGTATTCTGCAACCCCTTCGGTACTCTCAAATGTAGATTTAAACACATGAGTGAAACCTTGATGCATGTTCTCAATACTAACATCCTTGCCCCTGTTTCAGTGGAAATGATTGTTTTAGCACCACGCCAACCACTATTTTATTGTTTGTAAAATCAACACATGAAGATTCAAGTCTTATGTAGTGGTGCTTAATGAATTGGGCAGCTTGTGAGTTGTTCGAATTTAACTTGGTCAAAATTCAGTCGACACTCTATTCTGATTGACTCGACTTGAGATCTTAACAAATTGAGTTGAGCAAGGTCTAACTCGACTCAATTAATTCGCGAGCAATTCGCTAATCTTTTATAATTTTAAGTAGTTACCTTAAAAAAGAGAGTCTAATTAATAATGACTAATTTACTAATAGATAATAAGAAAGATAATGAATTACTAATTAATTATTACTATTGATTTATTAATTTTCTAATAAACAACAACATAAAGTAGATTTTACATATAGTTTTAAAAAGAAAAAAATTCCTGTGAGATTAACTAGCAAACTAGCAAAGAGTTGGGCAACAAACTTTTTAAGAGTTTAATAAAACTCTGGTGAACTTAAGGAGCAACAAATTTTATTAATGAGCACGAGTCAATCACCACTCAACTCATGCTCGACTTACTCAATAAGCGCCCCTAAGCCTCTGGATCATATCAATTACAACTAGTGAAGGGCTAAAACAAGAAGTTCTGGCAAGGGGTTTCAAGGGACTAAGATCCAAAGTAAAACCATTTATGGCTGCAGTGGATCTGAAACTTATCTATAACAAAACCCAGATTTAAAATTAACAATAAAAGATATGATGGGTATCAAATGAAAAAGAAACCCAGTGAGTGAAAAGGGATAGCATTAGCGGAGCGTACCAGTGGAAAGCTTTCATGGGTTCAATGAGGTTAACAAGATTGGCATAGCCATTGGCGAGTTCTTCAATCTTCTCAGGTGTAATGTCATCTTTGAACTTTGCCAACAATATGTGCTTCACAACTCCTTTTGCTTCCTCCATTTTTTTTCTTGGTTCTGGTGTTGGTTGGTTGGCTCTCTTTGTATCTAATCAGTTTATGGTTGTGGTTTCACGTCTCCCAACGCAGCATATGGGGGAGGTCGTGCAGATCAACTATTCGTCACCATCATTTCGCTTCATAGGTCAAACAAAAACTTTCAGGCCTAACAAAACACACTTTTAAGCCCTTTTTTTGGTTATAAAAACATGTTGGGTTTATGAGAGGGTTGTATTAAATTGTTGGGGTTTTTTTTTCATTTTAATACTGGTTACACTAAATGAAGTCTTGATTGATTCTGATCTTAGTTCATTAATTTAAAAGTGTTTTTCATTATTAAATAAAAATTAAAAGTTATTACATAAAGATCAAATACATGAGTTAAGAATATATATACAGAAAGGCTTGGTTAATTAGATTTCAAAACTCTGTTCACACCGTATCATATGCAAATTTATTTGTCATCAAGTGTTGATAGTAGTTGGGATTCAAGAATTTGAGTTTGTAAAGCTAAACTTAAATTCTACCATCGTCACTCTTGATAAACAATCTGTAAATTTATATGTAAATCTCAATTGAATCTTAAGTATACTTACCTGAACTAAGGGAGCCACCCTATCCTAAACTTTTAGTTGTATAAAAAATATGCAAATTTCTTTTTGCAAATCAGAACTTTTTTCGCAAATAATAAAATCATGACAAATGTCATTGTAAATTTAAAAGTTAAAAGATGTAAAAAAGGACATATCATTTTAATCTCACTTGTGAAGAAAAAAATTATGGTGCAAGTTCGCCTAATAATAATCCTTAAAATTAATAAATACATCATTACTAATATTATGGTATTATATTTGCATTGAAATAATGATTTCAATATTCTGAGCTCTAAATTTTCCATTATTCAACATCTTGATTCTTGACTAATGCAGACTAGATGGCTAAGGTATCGAAAGTACGTGATCGGGAGTAGCAGCAACTGGGCCAAGCATAGGATATGTACTTGTTTAGTGCTTTAAAACTTATAAATAGAACTAGCAAATCAAATACCATCCTTCAAAATTCCCACCGGCAAACAGCTGCAGCAGCCAGATGCGGTACAAGGTAACCCCGGATTCGGAATTAAAGTCGAGTGTAATAAACACAGGGTTGAACAAGCATACTCCTTGCAATAAAGCAACACACTGCCCTTTCATTCTCACAAAACTCGGGCAGGCATTTCCGGAACTGTTAAATGATGTTTAATCAGCTACTTGCTTTGCTCTCTTCGCCTTCTTACCATTTTGGCTGCTCGCTTGGATGTCTTTACAGCCTTTGCTTGTTTGTAACTGGTTCTATTTTTTACCTTCACGGCTTTCTATTTCGGAGATTCATTATCCTCTTCACTCCCAGCATCATCTTTACCACTACAAGTCTACAATCGTCATTGTCGTGTCGTCGTCATCATCACTCTCCTCAGTTTTTCTTTTCATGGGAGGTTTTTTACCACGACCTTTAGGATTTCCCTCCTTTCTAGATTTGGTAATTTTAGTGTTTTCCTCTTCCTCATTCGTTGGTTCATCACCAGCGCCTTCTTCTTCATCTTCATCTTCATCATTGTCCTTGGCCTTACCTCTCTTTGAAGCCTGCTTTCTAAGCTTACCTGCTGCTTTTGAAGCTGATGTTCCACTCAACTTCTGCAACTCCGGTACATACGCTGATGTCTATACCAGAAACATGAAACAGTTAAAAAGCAATTGATGGACCGACGGATTCTATTTTAGAATGACCTACCCTGCCACCAGCATTGATAAAATCAATTTTCTTCCCTGTCATTAGAAAGAAGTCCATATTATTTTCTAGGAAAAAAATAATTTTAAAAAGTAAAAGCTAATGCCTAATAAACATGAATGGAAATGTACATAAATTGATATCAATCAGAAAACAGCCACATTGTTTAACGGGTGAAAATAAAATCTTTTAACATAACCAACATAAAATCAAGAAATAGAAGAACACTAATGCATTCATGTTGTGGACGCATAAAAGCTGACACATGAATTCAGAAGGAAGTTATCAATTTATCCAACGAAAGGAGATAATAGATAATGCCAACACATTTAAGTTCAGGAGCCAGACCATCAACAAAAGCCTTGCCAGGCTTCTTTTCGCGAGAATGAATTATCCAATTACTAGGGAACTGAACTACTATCCGCCCCAACTTCAACTGCTGTTTCAATAACCTGTAAAATCATTTTTTGGGCATGATTATCAGTTTGAGAGGTATCTTACCCTTAATTTTTCCAGACCTTTTACCCCATCGTAAATGAAACAACCAATCGTTAGGAAAACGGGAGCTGTCATCATCAACTTCAACAGCATACTGAATGACCTACAGATATTTATCAGCTTTATATTTTCCATGAAGAATGCATAATTATAACATAACGTTTTTTACCAACTACAAGACGGGTCAACTGTTACCTCCTTGATGCACTTGTGTAAAGTTGCACAGCTTTCTTTGGACAGGCTGGAAGAAACCTGCAAAGGATGAATCCTTGCCTGCCACATGGTAAATTATATGATAAACTTGCAACAGCCTATAAATACTTTGAGTCCAAATATCAGCCCATTCAATAAATATATTTCCCATTGCTCATCTCAATAAAAGTAAAACCAAATTTCACGCTTCAGAGGGCTTATTCTGGAAGGCTAGCACCTTACCGTACAGCCATACTCAACTCATCTTGTGAAACTCTATAAAAAGCTCTTCACATGAATAAAGTTATTGATAAAGCTGAAGATATCCCCACCCAAAAAAAATCTTCAACCCCAAAATTAGAACTCCTGAACAGTTGGTTCCACTAATTGTATGCTATCTGGTTGGTTACCCAAATAAATGAGCAATCACCTTCTTCAATATACTTGGTAAACATTTTATAAAATTAAGGGGGGCTGGAAACAAGAAAAGACAAAAGAGTGCCATGTATAGCTTACTACAAGCTCCCAACATTCTAAAACTTATGACCTGTCATCAAGATGCATCAAGATGATGCGCAGTCAAAACTTATGGGTTTTTTCAACTAGCATGTGAAGGGATTTTTTGTTGAATAAATGAACACTACCCAACATCAAGAGGAAAATGTCTCATGTTATCAAAACAATTACACATATAACATTGTAGCATATCAATATTCTATAACCAATGAATCTAAAGTCAATATTTTCTATTTCTCTACAACTTTTCAAACTAAATAAGAGATTGAACAAGCTATCTTGAAGTGGAACTTTAAGATTATTACTCGTATTCCCTCAAATCATGTTACGGACAAAGCCATGAAAAGTATATCTATGGTAACCGCACTCGCAAGTGGAAGCTCTAGTTTTTCAGCGCAAATATCGTAGAATTTTCCTTTGAATTATAATGTCAAAACTATGCATCAGAATGTTCCATATATAGATTACATAAGAGCCAATATCATGGGGTTATCATGAACAACATCTTAAATATGCAGTAATCTATCTTGTATGTAAAGAGTGCACTAACTTGGTATAGCACTTCATTTGCAATCCAGTTGCCAATTCCTGAGATAACTCTGCAAATGTTAAGACAATTAAAATAAGTTTTTTCTCCGCTCCGGTGGTGAGTTGTTTGATCGAGTCGTCACGAAAATAAGGTACTCGAAAGCCGGTGTAGTAGTGGTGGTGCGACATATCGCATATGCCATAGAGGTTAAAGGTGATTCATAGGGATCTAGAATAAGAAAATTGCTTGTTCTTGAGCCAAAACAAAGATTTGACGTTGAAGAATATGGATTTTGGATCGAGTTCAGTGGATGAATTCACATATTCAATTATCGGGTTGTTTGGATCTATTGATTATGTTTTACTAGAGATGCTTTCTCAAGGGAAAATCACCACGAATAGTGATACACGATTATCAGGTTATATGGATCTATTGATTTGTCTTCTTGTTACTTGTTGGATTTGACATTATATAATCTCAATCTTTGGAAATTGAAATTTAATTTACATTACTGAGATTATTCAGCTTCATTTTACCTCTAGACGTCTACCATCTCATTTTTCTATGAACTTGTGGTGTTATTATTTGTAAGTTAGAAATCTTTCATTATTCTTGAAATGCTGCACGAGTCATTGAAATAAGTCAAATGGAGTAATGGAGCACATATGTTTGAAGAAGAAGCAAAGAGAATATGAACAACAATGAGGTTGAGAATAAAACCTATTAAAAATAGATAAATTAAAATATTGTCGAACTAATTTGAATTTACAAAAAGACTCATAATCATTATTTTTGTCTAAAGTGTAGGTATTAAAATAAAAATTAAACCATTTTACTAACGGATCACGCCATCAAATTAACGACATTCAACGTCAAAGTGACAAAAACTTAATAAAATGATGACATAAGTGATAAAATTTATGTTTTTAAAATTTAGTGAGCAAAAGTGTATAAATTTAAAAGAAAAGTCACCAAAACTTAATCCACGTATTTTCTACATGAAAATGATGTAATTTTAATTTTATATAGTTATCGTATCACGTTAACAAACAGTTAAAGGTTTAACGATAGTTAACATTTAACGAGCACATCTTAATTAAAATGCAATGAAAGTGACAAAATCTTATATTTTTTTTAATTCAATGAGGAAAAATTTATAAACCCAAATGAAAGTGACTATTTATGTAGTTTACCCTTAAATTTATAAACATGTTCGATATATTAACAATTTTACATGTAAAAGCGATAGAGTGAGATACGCGAGGACCAGACCTGACCAGACAATACACGTGGTGTCTGAAAATGATTAAAGAACAATACGAATGTCTCATAGTATCGGAAAAGGTTCTGTTGAATAAAAAAATGGTTGAGCCGTTCGAATTAATGATTATAGACCGCTGTGAATGTTTGGGTCGAACCAGTATAACTTGTAGCCAAAGATTTAATTCGTTTCGGGTAAATTATATAAATAGTTATTAAGTTATATTAAAATTATTTTTTAATCACTAAAATTAAAAATAGTTATTAAATTTTATTAGATTAATTTGGAAAGTGTATATTAGAGCATTTGAAGTCAATTTTCACATTTGAAGTCAATTTTTTCCATTAACTCCGTCATAATTTAACATGATTTTTTTATAACTTAGTCCATTTACTATAATTATAGTATTTATAGTCCCTATATTATTCGAAATGAGAAAATGCATAGTATTTAAAAATCTTAAAAACAAAATAATTCATGTAACTTATTTGACGGAAATAACGGAAAACCCATTCCTTACAATTGAAAATATAATTTTAGAAAGGTAATATAAAAATAAATATTTAAATTGTATTATTTTTAAATTATATTTAAAATTGATTTTTAGTATTTATTTTTTTGTTAAAAATAAATGTATAATATTTTATCCGTTATACTTTTAGGTACATGCCGTTAAAAATACCGTTAAATAACACGTATCACGTTCATATTTTCTAAAAAATAATTTAAAATAATATTGTTTTTTAAAAATAAAAAAAATATAAACGTGACACATGTAGTTTAACGGTAGACACTTTCTGTAATGGAGAAATCATTATACATCTATTTTTAACAAAAAAATTCTTTAAATACCAAAAATCAAGTTTGGGTATAGTTTAGATACTTATTTTTATATTAAGCCTTTTAGAAAAGTAGAAATATAAGAAATGATCGAATTATAACAAGGACTAAATCCAAACAATGAGATAGTATAAGGATGTTTTATAGAATTGAACCAAGATAGAAAAGTATGTTACTATGTTTGGAGTTGGGAATATCCGAGCCAGCTCAGTGTTAGCTTAGCACCCAATCTGAGTCCACCTTTTCACCATAAAAAGCAATAATGCACAGAAGAAGAAACCAAAATCAGCCACTCCCAACTTACTACATCCGTTCCTTTCTAATCAATCACCATCTTCCTCTCATTTCGATCAGATCTGTCGGTGCTGCCACTGTCATTGTAATCTCTGTGAAGAAAAGTTGATCAAGGCGAGCATGTACGGTAGAGATCCGTGGGGAGGTCCGTTGGAGATAAACGCGGCGGATTCCGCCACCGACGATGACAGGAGCAGGAGTCTTCACGACGTGGACAGGGCCGCGCTGTCTCGTCCCTTGGACGAGACGCAGCAGAGCTGGCTGCTTGGCCCCACCGAGCAGAAGAAGAAGAGGTACGTCGATCTCGGATGCATCATCGTCAGCCGCAAGATCTTTGTTTGGACGGTTGGGACCTTGCTCGTCTCTGGCTTTCTCGCCGGATTCATCACCTTAATCGTGAAAACGGTTCCGCGTCATCACCACGGCAAGCCTCCACCCGATAACTACACTCTCGCCCTTCACAAGGCGCTCATGTTCTTCAATGCTCAGCGTTGTAAGTTTATCTTCCTTTAGTTTTAGCACGGAGGCAAGATTTTATCCTAATTATATCAGAAATTGAGGTGTTGCGAAATTACAAGATGCCAAGAGTTGCGTAATTGGTTTATTAATAAAAGATATAAAGAAAATATTTCAATTGTATAGAATTGTTGGTTATTGGTTTGATCAGATTAAATCCATGCTTTTTAGAGTTTAATATTGTATTAGTCTTAAATATATAATAATCATGGTAATAATATACATTACAAATTGCACTGTAGCGGGGAAGCTTCCCATGCATAATAATGTGTCTTGGAGAGGAAATTCTTGCCTCCATGATGGAAAATTCGATGGCTCCTCTACAATTAAGGATCTGGCTGGCGGTTACTACGACGCCGGAGATGCTATCAAGTTCAACTTCCCTGCATCTTTTGCCATGGCCATGCTGAGCTGGAGTGTCATTGAGTACAGTGCGAAATACGAGGCTGCCGGGGAACTCAATCATATTAAGGATGTTATCAAATGGGGTACTGATTATCTGCTCAAGACCTTCAACAATTCAGCTGATAAAATAGATAAGATTGCAGCGCAGGTATGGTTATGCTGGTACTATTCCCTATTTCACTGTTATTTGTCAATTTTCTATGCTAATTGTTATGTTATAAATCGTAGGTTGGGGCAGGAGATACATCTGGAGGCAGTAAGACACCAAATGATCATTTCTGTTGGATGCGCCCTGAGGACATTGATTACCCGCGACCTGTCTACGAATGTCACAGCTGTTCTGATCTTGCTGCCGAAATGGCTGCTGCTTTGGCTTCTGCTTCCATTGTTTTCAAAGACAACAGGGCATACTCCCAAAGGCTTGTTCATGGTGCACGGACCCTCTTTGAGTTTTCCAGGGATCAAAGAGGCAGATATAGTGCTGGTGGTTCTGACCCTGCCCTCTTTTATAACTCTTCCAGTTACTGGGACGAGTTTATTTGGGGTGGAGCCTGGTTATACTATGCCACTGGAAATATAACGTACCTGAAGTTGGCTACTAGTCCTACACTTGCCAAGCATGCTGGTGCTTTCTGGGGAGGCCCGGATTATGGCGTTCTTAGCTGGGATAACAAGCTTGCTGGTGCTCAGGTAACTTTATGCTGCTTGTCTGCTAGTTTTGCACCTTTTGTCGCTGTTTGGTTATTTGATGTAAGGCTTTTTTTGGTGAAAGTTTGCTCTGAATTTATATGTTAGGTTTGGTTTGGTTTATGTTGTTTGCTGCACTCTGATATTCAAATGCAATTAGGATTAATTTTCTCGATAGAATCAATTAGACTTCTTTCTACCATCTGGAAAAATTTCTTCCAGTTTTCTCTCCTAGTTCATAGTAGTAAATGTACATCCTAGTTCTTGTTTCTTTGTCATTGTTTGACTTCTATATCAAGTAGTCTCCACTGGATCCGATTTAGCTAGCTTCAAGGCTGTTAAAGTTGCTAATTATACTTCTTAGATGGATAAAATTTTGTTAGTGTGCTTTGTTTGCGGTAACAAGTTATACATTTACTACCTGCTACAATCTGCCCATATAGGGTTTAATCACTTTTTTCATTGTCTAGCGATAGAGCCTTTTGGAAGTATCTTTTATATTCACTAATATAACCAATGTTTTGTGGTTTAGGTGCTTTTGAGCCGGTTGAGATTGTTTTTAAGTCCTGGATATCCGTACGAGGAAATATTGAGAACGTTTCACAATCAAACCAGCATAGTTATGTGCTCATACCTTCCAGTTTTTACTAGTTTTAACAGAACTAAAGGTAAAATCTCCTGTTTTTTTAACCGTGTCATGCTTAAATGTGTTGGCTATATTTTTGTTTTGACCTTTGTAACTTTGGACATTCCCACAGGAGGTTTGATTCAGTTAAACCATGGTAGGCCTCAGCCTCTGCAGTATGTTGTCAATGCAGCCTTCTTAGCCACATTATTCAGTGATTATCTTGATGCTGCTGATACACCTGGTTGGTATTGTGGTCCAAATTTCTATTCAACCGATGTCTTGCGTGAATTTGCGAAAAACCAGGTATGTTGTTGTTGGTTCTTTTCCCGAAAGATTGTCGAGGGTAAACGTTTCAGGCCACTAAATCGTGAATCATACCGAGGCCAGTGGCCAATGATTTTGTTTCTTCGGTTGTTATTTTGCAGATTGATTACAT